TTAACCTTTTGAGGTACGATGCTTGTTGGATTGAGTTCACGCGGCTCTGTGTTTTGAGCTCAGGTTGGAGATTGCTCTAAAACACATCATCAGTTCAAAAACTACCATCGACCATAATTTCGAAAGATCGCCATCCTGTGAATAGTAACTTTTACAGTGATAGTTTGGAGAAATAAGGGTTGGTAGTTAGAGAGAAGAAAAAAAATTCTCTCACAATCTACATCGCTTATGCTCATCTCAGCTTGGCCGGGCGGGACTGGAAATACGGTCAATTCATACACGTCATTTCCGGTACCACGCACGCACCGAGAGTGCATATTTGTGCAAACGAAACAAGTTACATCGAAGCAGACTATGCATCACATATACATAATATGCTCTCAGTGAATTTGAAATTACATATCAAAGCAGCCATTTTCATTTCAAATTTCGTAGGTGAATCGGGGAATACCAATGTCATATACTTTACGTGGGGTATCTGTGAGTATGTCTATTGTATAGTCACCAACGATCAGACATCCTGCGATATTGGCAACACCCTCGAAATAATACTACCCATCAAACGGCAACGACCCAGCAATAGAAAAAGAAAAAAGCACGTTTTATTGGCGTCATTGCCTACAGCACGAGATAAGATTTTTTCAAGACGTATGCACCGAGCGTAGAAACGACCTCGGTAACAGACGCTTTCGAGAGTAAAAATACTTGCGTGTCACGTCGATATAGATGGATTACGAAGGTCATTATGGAAGCTTTTCAGTGGATCAGGTATCGGTGTTCCCTCTTCCGACGGATAGGATTCCGGGTTTTTAATCTTGTATAATACGATGGCTTACTAGCAGATACGCCTTCAGATGTTAATGTTGATGCATTGATTGTTTGCAATCGCTACACCTTCCACAAAATCCTGATGGGAACACCGTTAGGTAAATTTTAATTCAATCGGCTTACTTCCGAACTTTGACACGGAGTTTGCTAAACAAAACACTGAGTGTAACTCGGCGAAAATGGAATTCGTTTTCGGACATTCATTTCAACTTTCATGAAAAATTAAACATGGCAAAGTAGGATAACGACTAGTCTTTCAAGTTTCGTCTCTTGAATGCAATTGAGTTCAATTGTACACAAATTATTTTGTGACTGAATTTTTTGATAGAAGAATTATCTCACTTCATGTACGCATGGGTAATCGCGATGAAATGTAGCCAAGCCAACGCACAGTACGTGCATGACTGAATTGGCATATTCTCAAAGAAGGTCGCGGCGAGACGAACACGGGTTGTTTGTATGAATGCATTATTTATTGCCTACAGACTCGGTCTTAACAAGATAGTTTTGCGACAATAGCACATAGCACTAGAAAAAAGTGAGACGTCATGTGATTTGTACTGTGATTAAGATTACATTCATACGCTTTTCAGCGAACCTAAAAAATCTGACAAGGTCTGGAAAAATGGGGATCCGCATTAATGACATAGTATCAATATTTTTTGGCTGGCGCTCAAATTACAATTGAATGTTGCAGAAGATGGTTTTCGTTTGCAAACTGTAATCAACATAGATTTTTTCTCACTCATGCCTCCATGATAAAACCAGGCAAACAAAACAACGTGAAAAAGATTGACGAATACCTCAATAGCCTATTAATAAGAATGCTTCTTCCCATTTCACGATATAACTCATTTCAATCGGAGATAGTGAAAAGATCCATTTTCTTGGAAAATTTAAGCAAAATTCCATTTAAAAGCATATATTTACGACGGATTTTCATTCAAACGGAAATTTCGTCGTCCGCTCGCTAATGTTGTTATCTTAACGATTGTACGGACAAAATCGATATCGTCCAGTCAATTTAGTGACCAGAGGCCTTGTCGCGGTCCCAAGTGGCCATGGTTTATTTTTTTTTCATATATTAACTTGGTTTATCATACACGATAATGCATGGGCGTGAATAAAATGCACCGTCTTGGAGCGACAATTCAGGATTATACCTGGTAGTCAGGACAACATCGCACAATTTAGGTATATTTTATTTTGTAAGGCTTCCCTGGGCAATTACGGTCTAGACAGTTATGGAGGGAATTTAGCCGGAACCGGCACACTCGCAGGGTGTGTTTTACTTAAGCTGATTGGCGGTGTTTTAAAATTTAAAATTCGGTACAGCTGTCAACAACCAAATTTCACGTTACGACACGAAATATTTGGACAGCACACTCAAATTTTAGGCCACAAGTCCCATAATTACTGCCACAAAATCTATATTTAGATAGGGAGAACTAATATCCCAACATCATATTTAGTAAAACCAACATCAACTTGGAAAACCTATATCCAGATCTTTGGATATCCCAGGTGGGATAAAGTCATACCAATATGTTGTATAAGTTTGTTTCAATATTTTGTACGCAATAAGGTATGCTGAAAGATTTTCCTATGCTATAAGTTTTGGTACTGATACTGATATTGACAAAACAAAATCGATATAAAATAGAAATTGTAATTCATGTATTCTGTATTTTTCTACTATTATGTCTAACTCCAATGGAAATATAAATTAAAAATAAAACAGAGTATAGACTTCTGAAAAACTTTATTATGCGGCAGTTATAATACAATACCGTATCACCGAAATTGTAACCATGCTTAGTATAATAATATCCCATCGGGTATCGAGCGGGAATTCGAAACTTATCTTTGCGTGGAAATAACTTTGTCGCTAAATCAATAGGTAACAGCGCAGACTAAATTTTCGACGACGACAAATTCACTAATCGATAGTGTATATACATATCAAAGTACTGGAGACGTAGAGGGAGAGGCAACAGTTACTGTAATAATAATTAGTGTAACGTTTTGCGCTCGATATTAAGTCTCGACATCATCCGCTTTCACTGTTATTATTTAGGCTAAGTTGGGTTTGCGAGGGGTAATAGTCGAACTAAACTGACCCAAATGCGTATGCATAATTATGCAACGTCAAGTCTGATGGTTGTTTCCCAAGTTCCCCAAAGACGTTAAGCGGATTTATTCTATCGATCGGAAAGATTTACTACGATTGACGCGTAGGAAAAGGGATGATTGGTTATAAGTAGTGAAAAGCAGAAAACTACATTTATGACTGATACGTTAATTCAGGTCAAGAGCGAATTGCTAATCCTATAGAGATGCATTTCCAATGAGTCAATACTCGAGAGAGAAAAATCACTTAAGTTTCACCAGGATCCGAAAATTTTATTCATGACAATTTGTTTTTGCAATATCAAATATTTTTGAAATCTCATTAATTCTTGCAGTCATATGTGACAGTTAAATCGTACCATTGGTTTGATTTATGTGTGTTTCCTAGATTAAATTTACAAACTGCCACACAAGAGAACGTGTATAAAATGTTCACAGAAATTTTGCAAACGAATTATGTGCAAATTATTTCTCAAAAATCGCGCTTATTAATGGTGGTTATCATTCCAACGAAAATCTAAATTTCGATTTCAATTTAGCATGTTCAGTATCCATAACAAACAGGCCGAATAGATTTGCACGCGATGAAATAGCAATATCATTCATCAATGCATGATGCGAATGTAGTCCGCACGCACTGGCCATCTATCTATACGTGACAAATACCATATAATAAATTCACATTTCATAATTCATAATTAATAGCCTGTCCAAGAAAAATATACCGTTTTTGACACGCATGGCAAAAGTCGTGACGGCAACATAAATTATAAAAATGGAATAGCGTAGATTTAGAATTCACAGTAAAATGCGCAATTGGTAGTGCAATGGTAAATACAAGCAAGCAGGAATCACTAAAATCAATAAGTTAGTTACTGATAATCGAGATCCTATTGGCTTTGTCTGGAAATTGAGACAATTATTGCCGTAGCGAGATAACTGATGGGAATGAACATAAAAATTCATTCAGATTACTTTTCCGATAAATTTATAATATTATTTTTGAAATTCTAAAAACATCGTTCAAATTAGTGACGGTCATTCGAGTACACCATGTCATTATACCACGAAACACATTTCTCCTTGGCCTCCCAATTTAATATTAATACACGGCAAATTGTATCTATATATGAGTTAGATATACATCATCAATTTGATGAGAGACTGTATCTGGGGACTGTGCTGCACGTAATAACACGTTGAATCGCGTCACGAGGGCGCGTCGTGAATAGCACAAAAACATACAAGCAACGATAGCGCAAGCAACACTATTAGGATTTGTAAATGAGAGCAAGCAACACGACAACTAGAAAAAATTAAAAAACGTGTGATATTTACGATATCGTCCGCTTTGGCTAGGTCAAAGTCTCTAAAGTATAAATGTCAATACCAAATAGTTACTGTAAGTATTCTAGAAATTTTGCATTGTGATAAAATGAATATAATTACCCTAAATAACTTTAAAGGTTTTGCAAGAAAGCATACAGTAATTTTGTAACAGATATTATACCAAAGCCCTATTCATAATATTTTCTAACAACAACACTGTAGAGTGTTTACAATACTAACAATCAATCAGACCAACTGTCTGTTATGCTCATAAGCACGCTTGCAAGGGACCGCAATATGACAGGCGATAATGAAAAGTAAATTTCAACATTCTTTCGTATCATGTTAAGTCAGATTCAAGTTAACGACCTCATCATTTACTTAAGATTATTAACCCTGCACGAGTTCATTTAGTTCATTAGAATGAATATATGTAGATTTGAATATGAACGAAGATTGAACTGCATTAGCTAGTTTAGTCTTAGGCATTGATCCAACAATCTTGAAAACCCTCGGGAGTTATTCATATAAGTTTTATTGAATTTACTGTTATTACAGCGAAATTGAATGGAAAAAAGACTTAGTCAAGTATATTTGAACTTCTCTTCGGTACAAAATACAAGTATTATAAGTGCCTACAAAACTTGAAGACATTGGTGTTAAAAGAATTAAACCAGACAACATAATGAATAAAGTAAATGAAATTAACGTACATATCTTCTCTTGCTTGGTGTTGGAGAACCCCCAGAATATCTTACAGGTGGGTGAGAAGGTACATCATACCGTTGCTCAAATCTTGATTTGACCTGATCAAGAATTTTTTGATATTCTTCACGTTTCGCTCCTTCAAGATCTTTAGGTAGCAGAAGATAATTCCGCCAGCTATCAGGGTCAAAGCCCCAATGGCATGTTCGCTTCTCAAAAGACCTGAGTGTTGATAAAAAATTTTCTTTTTATTATCATCACATAATAGTTTGGACCGTATAAGTAATTCTTACCTAAATTGAGCACTGAGGGTCAAACCATACCAATCCCAATTTGAAATAAAAAATTGATGATGGTATATTAAATTTTCACTGTAATATGAAAACTGAAATTCTATAATTCAGGTCCCATAATATTCTAATTCCCAGAAGGATCGGGATGTTTTTACACTGACCATAACAAATTAAAAGCGGACAGCTTCCAGGAAAGAAATATTTCATTCAACTTAAAAATAGAACTATGATAATGTCAATAACATGATGCGAATGTCACTGACTCAGAATTTGCAATCAGTATGTAAAATCCACATGTTTTATACCTAATGCCCATAACTAATTTAAAAATTTTCATTTACCATACATGCAAGAATGTATAGTTAAATCATAGATGTCATTTGGTACCTGTGAGAATGTGTGATGAAACGTTGAGGGCTATACATACATCCACAACCTTCACATACAATGCAGGGTGCAATAGGTGAATTGTAAAGTTCTGGGTAAATTTTTCCATAACCTCGTCCAAAGCATTCATGATAAACTTCAATACCACTGTCTGGATCAATATGCTGTAAAATAGAAATCAAATAAATGATGATAATATTGATGAACCGAACCAACAAACAGGGACGACGATAATTATTAACAGAAACTTTGAATCCCACATGTGTAATCTTTGGTCAATACTTGGTTGCAAGGGTTTTTGCTTGAAATACAAGAATGAAAATTGCTATTACAGTATGTGTATATTTATTAGCTTATTTAGTAAAGATTGATTCGAGACATTCCAGTAGGTATATTTATTAAGACATAGTTTTGTTCAATCAATTACAATGAAGTGTGTTACGGAATTGCTGAGCAGGTGCTAAGGTATGTCTATAGCACTGACCTTTGGAAGTCGATCTCTGTGTGATTTCACAGGCTCATGTTGATCCGTTAAAAGTGCCACTAATCTTTCAGCATCTGTCTTTGTTATCAGACCACACTGTGCAGTGTTTATCGGTAATATTCCTAGTACTTTGAGAGTTTCTAACTGTTTAGGCAGGCACCGACTGCAGTAAATGTGAAGATCGGCACATGCTTGGTTTATTTCAGCTATACTGTATTCTCTCAATACTGAAGTCAGTATCTGAAATACAAAATTTAACAGGAGTTCAAAATGATGTGAAATAGGTACAAACTACCAATAAAGACCAACAAATGGATAGGATATTTATATGCAAATTTGAAAACTGTCTTCTTATTGTAATTTTTGAAGATACAGTGGAAACATATTAATCAGTGTTCTGTTTTTGGATACGGAACAATTTTCATTCTTTGAATGTTGTTGTGCTACTACAGATCCAAATCATGAAGTTTTTACCTGTGGAAGACAGAGTCTTTTCTCACCGCCCACAATGAAACAGGCAATCTTCTCCCCGGCTAAACACGTTTCCGAACGCTTCGCCGACTTGTCGTTAGGAATGAAATATGGAATTTGTACCATTGGTTGAGGTGGTATTGGTGGCAATTGCTTGTTTTCCTAAAGTTAAGGAACAAAATTATAGGATATCTTGAGGCCATTTCCTGTGTAGGTATAATTATAGGTGCAGACATTAATCTGTCTGGCATATAGGGTAATACAACTAATAAAATAATACAAATAATTTAGGAGTTCCGTTGCACATCAATACAGAACTAGATTAGGTATGTTCAACTCAAGTTCAACTTTAACCATACACAGAAGTATATTTGTGGAAGTGTTTAAAATTGCAAATGTTATCTTCACGCATATAAAAAAATATACCACATGGATAAGTGTCTTTACTGTTTGACGATAAATCATGGCATACTATAATTACTTCAACTTGAATAAGTCGACTACATAGGACACAGTGAATTAAAATTTACTTGATATAAAAATCTCGAAAATTCTTGGTGGCAAGTCATGCATAACAGCAAGCGCGGCTAAATTGCACAAATAGAAATTGTATACAGTCATGCATTGAAAAAACAATGCCTGTAATTTGAATATTTTAAAAAGAGAGTTGAATAAGTCACATGAACTCAACCTCGTGTCAAAAATATTAACACAGAATAGTCAGGAAATTGAAAAACACATTCTACAGATTTTCATTAAAAGCAAGAACCAGATCGCTAGTAACATCATAATAACATTATGTGAAATGGATACACAGCCGCAAACATAACTTGATTTGTAGAAAGTTTATGTAATTGCTTTCACATTTAACAATCAATTAACTTAAATCAGGAATGAATTTCGATTTTATTACATAGAGTACTGAACTATATATTGTTATATTGTATAAATCTCAATTTCAACCAAGTATTCCAAGTCTTGGAAAATGGAGATAACAATTCAGAACGCTGTAGAAAATACTATCATCCAATAAAGATTCCTCTCTCCAATAAGAATCTTTTGTTAACTGTTTTTATGTCAATTCTGGCTATTGTAGATGTATAATCAGTAGAGTATAATAATACCATCTGTAAATGATTATGCTGCAAAGATACGCTTGACGCTTCTTTTTTTTTAGTAGAGTTAGGATTGAAGTAGGCTATATGAACATGAAAATTTCATTTATTCAAAACAGAATATCCAAAATAAAGACACCAACCTTAAACCACATTTGAGCAGCCAATGCTGGAAATCCACTCGGGCCACTAAGGCTATCTATGCTAGATAACTGATAACAGTTCAAGGTAGCTTTCAAGCTTTCTGGAAATGTTGTCGGGTGGAAATGTTCCATGATGGCGCGAGCAAGGGTATGCTCTGATCCGCCAGATATCATAAATAATCCCGGTTTGTAGTTCCAGACAGAAAAGCGTCAGATTTTGTCGAATTGTATCCGCAGAGTTGTTGACATTCCAGTAAACAAATGAGATGTATTAATTGTTCAACTTTTCAAGAAATTAAATAACCCATGTTGATAATATTTTGAATACAGCCCATGTATTTTTAACCTGGCGCATAAACAACATTTCAGATTACTCAGAGTTTATACGTAGGTTCAAGTGTAACTTGAACCATTTGCCTTTACTATTTTTCCCATTAAATAATTATAGAAATATTTCTAAACTTTATGAATTTGTCTGAATCCCCTATCAGTTTTGTTGTTAATATACATTAGTTACTGCAATGCTTAGTAGCTTTATAAATAATGTATTGCGATTAGCATTTTCATAATACCTAAAATACATAACTAGAGTAACAACACTTCAAAATAATGCTACATTACAGCGTTACACCAGTGTAGTAAACATCATTGGTATTTGGTCCAGTAAAAATCATCAAAAATATTAACACCTTCCATTTATTACTGTTACTGTGGACATATTAACTCATAGTTTTTGATAGGAAGCAGCGTAATTGGCCCAAAATTGAGAACTTTTTTTAAGAAATTTAAATATCAGTCAGACAAATGTAATATGAAAATCAGGATATTATCTTTAATACTCATAAACAGTATTGTTATTTAAATCTAACTAGGCCTATATCTAAGCTAACACAAATCGAGGTTCACGCTCAGATATTGCATAACAACTATAGAGCATGTGTATAATAAATACCCGGTATGTCGGCCTAGCGATTTCTATTGGCGACATAAGCTGAACACTTTTTGCTGTAAATTTACCATAGAATTTGGTTGATATTAAAACTTAAAAATCTAATAATAAATATCATTTTAACTGTTTAATATCCGCTCATACGAAACCGAACGTAAGCTAAACTTTACAACAAAGCACCGCTGCTAAAAACCTAAGGCCCGGTCGAATACTGAAATTTAGCCGAGCGATGCAGACAACTCAGAACTGAGGGACGACGATCGACCTTTCCCTCGTTCGAGTTTTTCACTTTGTTTCTCTATTATGTCGCGAGGAGAACGCGCGTGTATGTGTGAATACATACGCGCCGTCTAGACGTCTGCTCTTCTCTTTATGGTGCTTTACTCCTGTATTCCCCGACGTCCGTCGACGATGTCGGTAAATCGATTCCTCGATGGACACCGGAGGCGTCACTTAGCATTTCTTAAGAATATTAAAATATTGCGCAAAATAGCGGTTGAAAGTACACATCCGCCTGTTCTATACAGAAAGTCGCCTAATATTGTCCGATCTCGGCCTCTTGAATAATATTGACATAAAACACTGCCGCTCACGATGACCAATAAGAAAGGAATGCGTGAAGGAATCCGCACAGAGAAATCAGTATTCTTTTTATTAAAAACTTTCACTGTTGTAATGCCGACACATTGCGTTATATGACTATTTCATAATTTAAAATTACGAACAGTTTAGAATACATTATATAATACAGAAGGTGAAGATTGAGGAATCTCAGCCCAACGTATCTCCAATTGGACCCAATTTATATCCACAACATCTTAATCCGTTAAAAGAGTGCACTTACGATCTTTCGCAAGCAGCCGGAGGTTCGTGAAATTAATCAATAACAGGCGACGGTCAACGTTGCTTAACCTCAATGCCATTTGGCAAAATTAATTTTGTGACACGCTGGATTTGTCGCCGGAAAAATGGATTTAATTTAATCTGGATTAACCTCGGAATCACTGTATTGATATCAAGCTTGGCCAACAACACTACATCTGCTACTACGCCGAGAAACACGAAGCAACTCGTCGTGCTTATTAACTTGAATTATGGGCAATATAAACACATCTTGTACGTCAACATACAGCGTTTAGCGGATGTTATTCCGGACGGAAAACGTCTAGCTTGTCAGTGATCATGTCATGATGTACATGTCCAGTATCTGGAATAGTTTATTGATATATAAAGAAGTAATACAAGCATCCGACATGATCTGTAATTCTGACTACTATGTCACGTAGCTATTTTTCATGCTTGTATAAGTCAAAGCAGATATTTTGGCAGAACTCACAATTGCGTGGGGCTGCGATGCACATGAATATACACAAGACCAAAAAGTCAATAATTTATATCGGGAAAGCGAAAAACGGTTTTTCGCAATAACCTATTCGAAATTGGACACTTAACACCCTCCAAATACACCCAACATTTCATATAATTCAACTCGAACGCTTAACATTGTTATTTCCACTTATAGTTCTTCTCATGGTTACCGTATATGCCGCAACGGTATGGTAAGAAAACTAAGAAAACGAAGCATTACCCCGATTAAAACCAACAAAACATCAAGCCTACACAGTCTCATATAGTCTGAATTATATTTTACTAAACGCCAATAAAAAAATATATATACTCTACTGAAAGCAATAGGTAATATACAACACCAAGCCATGTGGAGAAGAATATACAAAATATCCCAGACAGGTTATACAATTACGGTTAGCATTTTGAGACCAGTTGCACAAAAATTGAATTATAATTACTGAAGGCATTTGATGAATCATAAACATCTCTTTTATCTTTCATTAATTTAGGTTTAAATGTTCAAAAAATACAATATTCAAATACACAAAACATGAAATAAGGATTGAATGACAGCTTAACATAAGATGATGTCAGGAAAGGTAACTGATTCAGAATATGCAGCCAATTATGCCAGGTCAACTTACTTATATCAAATAATAGAAGCTTTAAAATGAAGTCTAAATGCTTACAGTGCCTATCTAGTGTTGGTATAAATTGACATATATCTTAACAACAAAAAGACAAAAATATTTGTATTGGAATGAAACATACTGAATAATAAATCACTGAAAAGTAACTTTGTTCACTGCCTCATCTGAATACTACTTTTTCTTCAGAATAGCAGCCTAAAAATTAAATTACAGAAAAATGATCATAAACAACTATAGCAATAGCATTGAGACTACCTCTATTCATATTCAGTTTTAATTGGAAATTAACTCGAGCTCCAGCTTACAGAATACAATTATTGGTAAAAAGGTTGTTTGCATGTCTTTTGCAGTGATTTACATTCTCAAAGCTGATCTGGCTTTATCAAGAATTTCTTTTCGGATTTTCGGATATTGTGGATTCTTATCAAGTACTTTGTGACAAATATTGATAGCGTCGATGAATCTTCGAGCTTTGAGATAGTTGAAAGACAGCTTGTATCCTGTAAATGATATAAAACAGACTTGGTAAGAGTCACGCTAAGAAGCTGTTACAAAAAAGATCTGAAATAGGGAAAAACAAGCCATTAGTCACTGATTTTCTTGGACAAACAAATTAAATATAATATAATCTTTAGTGGCGGCACAAACCATCAATTATTAATTTATTTGTTCTTAACACCTTACCCCCATTTGTTTTGCCTGGTGCCTTCCTTACTGTAAGCGAAAGCAATAGCCTTTTATTGTGAGGATTTTTCTAATTTTTGTGTACATGAAAAAACTAATTTCTTTGCATGGCCAGCTAGATGTTATGTTTAAAGTTGGTTATATAACCCGCCATATGACTGGCTATTTTAAGTGTAAAAACAATATGGTTGCCTAAATCTGGAATCAGGATATCCAGAAACTTGAAAATATCGAATTAGTTTAAGAGTAAAATGATGGGATTGATAAAATTCAACTAATTTTTTGACAATGAACATTAGCCGACTGGTTCAAACTGCTAACAAGCAATCATTCCAAACAAGAAATATTCAATAAGATTATTTCCCATTCAATTCCTATTTCAAACAGGATTCATCACACAAATCATCCTAAAATGTCTGCAAGAAATTACCATGCTCGATTGAAATCAACAAAGAACAAAGCATCGATGAAATGATATTAACCAGATTTTTAACCCAATTTCTGCTTTGTATTTGTAAACATACTGAATTAAGACATCAGGATGTTGCAACAGTATGATGTAATACCATAATATGTGCAAAAAAGATTATGAAATATTGTTGAAATGAGATATAAGAAATGTCAGATTAGTTTCTGCTTTTTGTCAAACTAGGATAATATTGTTATATTGTATGGCATAAATTAATAAGATAAGAATAATGACCTCTAAGCAGCCAGTGGTCAGAGCTAAAATAATCTTTGAAGGTGTTATGAGGTTACCATGAGGTTCACAATTGTGTTTTTTTACCAAGATCCCACTGGACAAATAAAAGTGTATATTCTTCCACGAGGTGACTCACAAAAAACAGAACCCTAAATTTATTGATTACTTTTGTGAAAATGAGGAAAAGGTACTCCTGAAGTATGCGCATCAAGATGTCGCACAACCTGAACCCTAGCCTGGTACACAACCTAAGTTCAGGTTGTGCGCCATTTTTGGTGCGCATACTTCAGGAGGTCCGAAGAAAATTTGTTTAACACTTCAACTTCTATTTGTGTATGATTATATCCAAAAGTTTGAGTGATCTACAACATTTTACACAAAAGTTATGTTCTTTCCGAAACATGCATTAAATGACATGAGTCATTTTTTTTGATCATCCTGTATTCTAATTAAACATTCTTAAGTAAAGAATAATGTTGAAAATAGGGAAATCTTGAAGAAAGCTTGCTATGAGTTTTGGAAAATAATCCCCAAATACATTTTTATATACCATAAACATAATCAAACACTGTTTACATAGTCTGCCTACTCAGGTCATCCTTTTTAGTATTGTTTGCAGTTTTCTTCAATCAAGGAAAGATATTACCGATAAAGAAATAATTAGTTGATACTATCATCAATCAGCATTATAGCATATAGAGGTGATTACAATGTTAAAATAAACAGAACCCAGATTACTTGGAACATATTCTAAAAATAATATAACTTTTGTGCCAAGCGTCCTAGATCATTAAAACATTTGGGTACAATAATACACAAACAGAAATTCAAGTTTTGAATAAAGTTTCTTCATTTTCTTCAAAGTGATTAAGAAATTTATAGGTTCATTATTTTTGAGGTATCCTGTACTATATATTTTGTATAATTCAGTACTTCCTACCTATGCTAGGGTTAGCCTGATTGCCATAATCCCAGGCTTTTTCATAATGAGTTGAAGCATCTTGATAGGATTGTTCTTTCTCATAAATGTATCCAAGATACTCAAATGCCTTACAACAAGACTGGATTGAATAGAAAAATAGATGTTGATAGATTGAGCAATTATGAACATGGTTATCAAAGCACTTTGAAAGACAGAATTCACAATAGGTTTATATTTTGTTTTAACCATCTGATGTAAACTGCTTAAAATGACAAATTATAAAAAAAAAACTATAACTTAAATTATTCTCAAATTAAAAATTAACAAAACCAAAAAACTAAATCCTAATGTTATTCAAATACTCAATTCAATTTGGAAATCCCTACTTGAAAATATCAAGTAATTTTAAATTTCATTTTGATACCTTATTATGTTCCACACATTTCTTCAACAGTTCAGTTGCCATATCAAATTTCCCTGCACTTATATAAACATCCGCAAGTAACAACCATGCCTGCTCAAAATTGTCTGCATCTTCCAGTGTCCATTGCATCTGTATTTCATGAAAACATAAAAATTTTACATAGAAATCGGTACTCCCATAGTGTGTGTACCAAGTTAGGGTTAGGCTATATTCTTATTCCGATTTTCCTTATTTTGGTTTTATTACAAATTCGGGCACTGTCTGTGTTAGCCAAGTAAACATTCCCCTTGCCCATAGGATTCAGTCCCTTTACGCAACTTGATGTAAAGTAGGCGAACAAACTCAGTTACCTCCATATTGGTACACACAATTCTGGAGCACCTATAAATCTTATATGAAGATTACTCACACCTTTGGCTCTGAACAAGGCTCTGTACAAAAACCACTTATTTTATATGATATGAAGGAGTCACTAATTCTTGAAAGGACGGGAATCCAATCATTATACCATGGGGTGTGGAGATAGGCATGGGGTTTGGATCTGAGATAGTGCTCAAACTTTATGAGATGTATTTAATAATGATTCACATCTTCACAATAATTTGGCGGTATTTAAAAATATTGCAGTGCAAAATACTAGACAATGTAATTTTATTATAAAAATAAAATAGACAAAACAAATTTTTTTTTAAAAAAATCTCTCCTAAACTTTTTTTCAATTATTCTAAAAAACGACTAACATCTTCTCTGAAAACACAATCTAATCATGAAGAGTGTGAACAAGCGTGAAATCTACTTTGTCACCCCATTATTTATTAATATTTTTCTGCCGCAAAAATTAACGTCCGAAACATTCCAGTCCAAAGATGGACAATTGCTAATGCCTACATTATGCACAAATCGTGCAATAAAAACCGCACAAGAGATAACATCATTGTAAGATGTGTTTATTTTAAAACAAGTTCATCATCGGCCGTAATCAATATTATTTTAACCTTTTTACGATAAAATAAATATATACGAAATAATTATTTCCATTTGTGAAAATAAAATAAACAAAAAGAAATATTGAATTCTGATGTGCTTATTTGTATTAAAAAATGCCTCATTTAGGAATGATGTCATCAGTCACGTTTCAACTGGCCAGTCTTGAGAACAAAGCTCGTTTTTTCAGATCCAATCTTACAATATAAATACTGATCATAATCAGTGATTAAAATACAGTGATGCTGTTATCTTTTCTCAAATAAATCAATCCCAAACTGAAGTTAGATAACACACAAGAAATCTCCTAAATAAATTTAGAACTATATAAGATAATTCGAATACTCTTGGTTTGTGAACTAAATTTCAGTGATAAAAACAAAATTAACTTTGAGCATTTAAACGCCATGATGTTTACGACAGCTCAAGAAGGTGACACAAGAAATGAAACACAATTGGGTACTGTATGACATCTGAGATTTATTATTTCACATCAATGGGTTATAATTATTCAGAAGGACACACTTTGAAACTCTCATATTTACATTGCATAACACTTTCATAATCACTATGCAAATCAGTCATTAGTGTCACTGTTGTAAATCATGAAATTATTAAAGAGACAAGCGTAGTTGATTTCAAGTTTTTCTTGCATCGATTGATTTTTTTACCATCGTTTTTTTTTCCATCCAAAGAAGAGGAAAGTCGACAAGACGGCTCAATCAAGTGCCAAATCATAGCCTATTGCCTGGTTACTCGTCTCTTATGAGAACAGTATTAGTTTCAGATGAATGGACTTGATAAAGTCATGTGCACAATCAAATAGAATTACGAAAATAGGTTGCAACATTTTAGTATCCATTCAGGTACCTTTATTATTCCACACTATTATGGGAAATTTACCTCTCAATTCTGAGAAAACATTCGCATTTGTATGCATGTATGTGATAACTTCTGTATTGAATTATAGCAATGGTAAATTATTCTATACCTTTGAAATTCTTTTGAGTTGGTTCCTGGCTCTCGGCGTTTGCTTCATAATCTGATAAGCGATTGCCATTCCCAGCAAACATGATACATTGTCTTTCTGAAATTATAATAGTACCGTATTGTCAAAGTTAATCAAAACCTACTTGGATATTTTTTTAAATATGGAATATCAAATATATTCTACTGGTAAATTCAGTCTTGTTTAATAGATAACGACAGATTGATATCATTGATAAAACCATAGATACCTTATAAAGATACAGATTCTTAGATCAATTCTCTATTTTCTTTCTTAAAATTATCAATGTTATATGATTAGGCTGTTCCAAGTTTGATCGTTGTATGTCAAAATGAATATTAAAATGAAAATATAATGAATTATGACTGAATTGCAAATAATACAAAAAGGGTCCAAAAAAATTATTTTTAATAGCTTCATAGCTTTTAAGTAATATTCAAGAAAAATCCTTTTTCATAAAAATAAACATTATTGTTCTCTGACCCATACATGAGAAAATGATGATTCAGATCAAAATATCCAATACCTAAACCGATCCGACAAAAATACCTCATTTTGTAGAATTTCCATAAAAGCAGCAAGTGCTTTTTCCGCATTACTTTTCTGTCTGTGTCCGAGTAGAACATATTTTTCTAATATTTTACGCTTGGTTGCATCTGTTGGGGTTGCTGCAGGTGTTTTACAGAGTTCTTTGATCAATCTTTCTGCCGTTGAAATTCCTGCTTCTGCTGCCGTCAATTTGTCATGAGAGTTACTGAAAGTAAGTCATTATTTAGACCAGGGTTTATTAAACTTGGCCTGTGGTTCCACCAAGGGGGCTGAAGATGGGTTCTCTGGAAAACTTCAGCAAAGACCTTTATTAAGTTTCATTTGCGATGTCTACATAAAGTCAAAGTAAATCGGCTGTAATTGGTTCAATACTTAAACTATAACACATTTGTTTGCGTTCATTCTTTAGCTTTTTATTCTGGCGCATCATATTTTCAAAGAAGGAGGTCACAGGTCTGAAGAGTTTTAGAATATTGTCACAGATCATGTAAGGTTGAAAACCGCTGATTTTGTATAAGTGAAACAAAGGTATGGTGAGATGATCGTGAATTTCAATAAGTACATTTTAAATGCTATATGTTTTCCGAAGCATTTTCATATCCAAAATTTGTGGTAAAAAAATTGGTTGATTCATAAAAATTAGATTCATACTTCAATGACAAGGAGTCGCATGCAGTCGGCCATAGCATTTTGTGTGACACTCAGCTCTAGGAGACAGTTTTAAAAATTTCCAATATATTTCATTAAAAAGGTTTGATTGGGATAAATTACACAACGAATTCGAACTATTGGGAACACGGTCTTTTGAAGAACTTTTCTAAATGATACCCTTTATATGACTTATACAAAAGAAAACTTTGTTCACCCCTGTTTTATGACAACCCTCACAATGAGCATGTCAATAGCAATGAAATTGTATGTGTCTATTTTGCATATGATTTCGAAGATATAAAACAATGGAAGCTTGCAAATCGAAAACAAATCTTACGAATCATCCAGGTTCTCTAATACTTCTCCACCCAGAGTATCTTGATCAGGATTAAGACAAATCCGAACCATGTTTGTAACAGCTTGTTCTCCCCAATCTGAATCACGTCTTGCAATGTTAAAAGAACGTAATGCTTCTTTTGTCTTCCCACTGTACCTGTTAGATATCAAGATTGGCTTGTATGTAAAATAACGCTTTGAACTTTCAAACTTACAATAAGTTTGTCAGTAATATGTAAGCAGAGAAGCCGGGCTGGTTCAAAATCATAGTGGCCTAGCTCCAGCTCCAGAGCCACAGTATATTCAAACTGATGCTCCAGCTCCATGCCCATTGAGTTTGAGTGTGCCACTACCATGAAATATCTGCCCAAATGCAGTTTCGAGAAAGCGGGACTCAAAACTATGATAAGAGAATATCAAAGTTTATAAATTGAATTCGAAACTTTTAAATCAATATTATGAATTAAAATTTACGACCTGAACAGGATAGATTTTATTATTTGTATGATATTAAAAAATCTTTAGATTGTCAGGAGCTGGAGCCACTAAAATTCCTGGTAGCTCCGGCTCCTTCTCCATCCGATACGGTAAGCTTGGCTCCAACCAATGTCGATCGCCACGTCTCTAGCAGTCGAATGCGCCTGATGTTGAGTGACTTTTATCGAAATACTGTGTTATGACATGCGCAAAATACAATATACACATACAGTATTTGAGTCTGAACAAGCCCGATAAAGCATAATATTACGTAACAAATGCAAGTTTTTCCGCTTCCGCACCGTTTAAAAATGAAGTGTCGAATATCGCGTGTCTAGACTGACAAACGATCCCACAATAACTTCCACAGAATGCGACTCACTCCGAGAGTAGTGTGATAAATTTTATTCGCAATGGTAAATCAGATACTGAAGTTTGAGCAGTCATGTAATGTAACATTCATGGTTATTATCACGCCCTTTATCTGAATTGTATTACTAAAATAAATATTGAAACATTTACTCCGGGTACAATTAAATAATCAAATTAACAACTTAAGCGGAACATAAAAAATACAATTTTTGTGTCGACTTTAACAATAATGTGCCCACAAAGCCTTCTTATTGGCAGCGGTGGAATTTTTTGTATGCATGTGTGTAGTTATCTGCACAGTCAGTGCCCATTCGTTTTTGTGTAGGACCTTATTACCGATCAGTCGATGTTACTACTGGTCGGTTACGACTTATTTCATCATCTGAGACAAATAACTAACTGATCATCTATTCCCATACAGGACATGGACTTGTAACCGATTAACAGGCCATGGTTCGCCATATGATTAATCTGATCGCTTTCGGGATAAACATGAAAAATCTCATCTTTGACAACATACAATTTTAATTACAATATATTTGATATATTTACCATTCGTACAATCCTTTACAGTAATGATAACCTGGATCATTAGAAGTACTAGCTTTCTTATTCATTTTTGTTCCTTCCGTTGAGATATCCTTCTTCGAATTTGTATCTTCTCCTTCCTCAAGTCCCAAGAACTGAGGGGCCTCTGTGAGTTTCCCAGATCTTCGGAGAAGGCCGATAAGCCTTGACAGAGCTTCATAATAATCTGGTTTTGCTTCGAGTAATTTTTGATAATGATAAATCGCTTCGTCGTACGAGTTTTTACGAAACATTATGTCAGCCATCATCTAGAAATATCAAAAATTCATGTTTGACATCCATATTCTGCCAATCATTTTACAATCCAGTATCTCAGTAATTTATAGTTAGGCCTATGCGTAGGCTTATTATACAGTATTCCATGCTATTAGGTGTAGATCAGATGAGCCCAATAAAATTTAAAGCTCGAAAAAACTTTTGGCTCTGACTCAGACATATTTGGACTTCAAATCCAGCTCCAACAAAATCAAATTTTAAAAACACAAACTTTGGAATATGCAAGCTATATTTAATAGACTGTTAAGAACGCTCAGAAAATTAAAATCTTTCTGATTCATCTCGATTCTAGAAGATATAATTGGCCAATCAGATATCCTGTCTTACCATGCTAGCTTCACTGTGTCCAGATGTATCAGTCTGTTTTAATATTTGCATGCAATATTGCTGACATATATCTAGATCAGATGACTGTAGATAGAGTTTTGCAAGTTGAATCATTGCCTGAAACAATATATAAAAAATATGAAGAAACCAAAATTCTAACTATTTTAATATCTTTTGTAGTAATCCATTTGTGTATGTGGGGAACTTCCAAATTGCATTCACATTTAGCATATTCATACAGGATATGAAATGTGCTGCCCATGGATCATAAGGTGAAATTGTTGTTATGGTTTTTATTGGGGTTGTTGCTGTCGTCACAGAAAAAATAACATTTATCTGCACATAGTTGACTACCGTATTTCTACGGACCATAAGGCGCACTTTAAATCTCCTTTTTCTCAAAAATCGATTGTGCGCCTTATAAGCCGGTATGCCTAATGTATGGACTAGGTAGTGCTTTATGTTTTATTGCCTACACTCAAAACCAGTACATGTGGCGTCTCATAGCTCGGTGCACCTTATGTAAAAACAAATCCCCAATTCAAGCAATTTATTCAGGGTGATCTGTAAAATACGGTAATAGATTTCAGCTTTTCACTGCTCAACGATGGAAAAAATCGATAATAGGTTATTTATTACTTCTATTTTACTTTTTTTTCAAATATTCTCTCATTCGATACAATTCTTTTACCATTTGGCTGAAATTTTGCTTACATGGTGATAGCTATTTTAGTCATTTGACCATCGATCGTCTTCATATATTTGAGCAATTTCCCCCTTGCCATTTTTAGAATTTTAGGTATAGAATTCACATACAGTGAATAAGGATGTGAAACAAAGAGTTCATCACCAACTACCAATAACCAATACCAAAATTCAGCACTGCAGAAGTATGTGCACCAAGATGGCGCACAACCTGATAACCCTAACCTGGTACACATACTATGTTCAGGTTGTGCGCCATCTTAGTGCACATACTTCGAGAGCACCTAAAATTCTTACCTTTGAATCATTTTCACAATAAATCAAAGCTTCTTTATAATACTTTATAGCTTGTTCTGTATTTTTATTTCTCTCATATTCATGAGCAGCCATTCTACAGCAAATATCAGATGCAAGTTGTTTTTGACTCGATGCTGATTCCGGTTGTTCGAGTTGAACTCTCTTCAATACTCTTGCCTGTGAAGGGATAAAAAATTATAAGTGTTCAATTTAGAAAAGGATTTTCATATTCATCCCAAGGAGAGGAACGTCGATAGAGTGACTTAATCATATGACAAACTCCGTCCTCTTGTCTGGTTACCGGTTCATGTCGGTATGGGGGTGGTTACCAATCATTTTTTGAGATGCATTGACTTGGTGGTGGAGAAAGCCGTAACCAATCAGATGTTACATGAATCCCCATCAGGTAGACGGGAGTACACCAATCCGCATTACATAATTATCCGCTGCAAGATTTGAACCTGCAATCTGGTAGAATAACAAATGTAAACTTAACGCTTGTCAGGATGCGTGACCTTCAGACCATTGGTCTTTCCTGTTTGTTGGGCGTCCAACAATAAAGAAAGATATAGACCAGATAAAAGTAACCTGGAAAATCTTATCAAATATGATTTCAGTAAGAATGTCCATGTCGGAAAAACTCACTATTTTGCTTACTAATTTCTAGATGTCAAATAGTCTGAATTTTTAAAATCATGATTCAACTATGAAAAAACAAAATGACGAGAAAATACTAATCTACAATCATACATCATAAAACAATAGCGATACTAGTGACTGTTAGTTTAACAACATAAAAAGTTCTTTAAACATTCAAGAATTTGACATTCAGATTTAAATCTCAACTTGCGTGTGTAGAATCTATTTTAATCAATAAAATGTATCTGAATCTAGAGTGTCAAAGATAACAATAAACAGGGGGCACTGGTTAAGCACCATTATAATAAAAATAGGTTCCTCATTGTCCTGATGAAGTTTGTCGGTAGACATTGGAAACAGTGGCAAACTATATCATGTATTCCTTACCAGTTATGCATGCATTACTATGAAAAAGGCTTGGTAGCTACGACCAGTTGCGAAAAAACATCTTTCAAAAAAACTCTACAAATAGATTAAAATTATTTTTTATCATCTTAAATCAGAACAACAATGCGGTATCTCCACTTATATTTTGATGTATGGACAAGATCTGGACAGATAGATAAATAAATAATTTAACCTGTTTATCTCTTGCTTTAGATAATTCTTCTGCTACTTTCTCATGTTGATTTCTTTCTTTATAAAGAGAAGATAAGAGAAGAGAGCATTTCGTATCAAACATTGCTCTCTCAAGTTCTGTCTCTCCTCTGGAACGATCATCTGATGGAATCTTGAAAGACAAAAAAATTTAATCTCAAATAAAACGTTAATAAATATACAAGTCAATTTGATGGAAATATAAGTAATTAAATAAGTCCAACTGTCAATCAAATACACAAATACTTTGATTCAAATTCAAAAGTAGAACTGAAAAAACATATATGTGAACAATAATACTTCATTCATGTCAGGGCTCTTTAAACTGCGGGGTCCAGTTCCCCTGGTAGGTGGCAAGAAGGCTAGATGGAGAAGAGGTTAAAATTTTTTTCGACACTAACTTATTACTTATCGAATTTATGTTAACATCGACTTATGTTAAAATATTGTCGAAATTTGAAGATTTGGAACCAGTACTGAGACCAAACCCACTATCATCGAAAAAAAGCCATGATTAGATCTTTTGTTCGAAAATACGCAAGGCACATCGTTCTCATTAGAGATATTGCTAATTTTATCATGTTTTATCAGATTTTACTTTATTTTTATTTTAGTTCCTGGGGTTCCGAAAGAATTTGACCGTGCCAAGTGGGTCATGATGAAAAAAGATTGAAAAAGAATGTTTTCAGTATTTATTTCAAAGAAATGGGTAATTATGCAGTAAAATAGTGTTATGATGCATGTAAAAACACGGTAGTATTCATTGTTTTGGGTCAATTTGGGAGTCATTATTACTAACACTTAAAAAATACAGTAGCTCAAATAAAAAGCAAAATTTGTTTTATAACTATGATGCAGCTGCAATGTGAAGAGACACTTTCAGTATACAGTTTCATTTCAAAATTTTCACCTGTTTCAATATTGCCTCCATCTTATCATACATTTTTAATTGCAATAATAATTCAGCCAGTTCAAATCTTAAATGTTGTTGTTGTCCTGTGTTCAATGCTGCTTCGTAATAAGCTATTGCCTGGAAATTAAAGAATAGCAAAGCGCAATTTCATTTCAAGTTAGAAACTACCAAACTACCGACAATTTTGAAAAAATTTGAAGTAATATATTTTTAGCTACTTTTTCCATATTTAGGTACTGTGAATTTGAAATTGATTGGGTCATTAGTGGGGATGGGCATTTCGAATCCAATAGTAAATTATTTGAATCAACTTGAACTTGACTTGAATCGTTCAGACGAAAATTTTGAATCGCTGCCATCTTGTTTTGTTTTTTTTGTCTGACAAAGGTCGAGACGAATTCTACAATTTTCTTCATCAAAGCCATATTTTTACATTGCAATTCGGCCATATGACTCGTTTTCCGAAATAGTTATTGCAAAAATATGTTTCTCATTGTGTTTAACACTCAGCGAAATAACTGAGTGATGGATTATATGTTTTCAGTAATTTATGTGTCTGGAGGATTTATTACAATAGAAGTCACATTTAATTACAAGTATTCGATATTCGATTTGAAAAAAATATTCGATTCAATTCTGAAATCATCAGGTATTCGAAAATGTCCACCCCTACTCCCCTAGCAATGTGAAAACTGCTTCACATAACACAAACTAGGAATAATATTTATATAGCCAAACCAAGCATACCCTTCTATAATCATGAGTTTTGACTAATGCTTGTCCAATTTTACTTGCCAATCCACTGTCCGGATTTTGCTGCATTGCTTGCTCATACACTTCTATTGCTTTATCAGGCTGAAAATATAACAAAGAGACAGATGAATTTGTATCAGGGTTGCTTATACAGTTCCTTGTTCAGAGTGAAGGCATGAAAACAAAACATCAAATCTTAGGTCTTTAACCAGAAAAAAGTATGACACAAATAATAAATTATCTATGATTTTGTGAAATTACTGAAAACATACATCATACCTCTTGAATACTCATGTAGGCATCACCCAATAATAAACTGGCATGGGAACTTGGTCTTTTGCTCAACAGATCTCTGAAAATAAAAGAATAATTACATATGTATGTTGACAGCCTGACATACAGATTTATTCTTGATTATACCCATGAAGGAGATGTATACGGCATGAACCCGGAGACTGATTAAGGCAGAGTAGGATGGGGCATTAGCCCAAAAATAGCCATCATAAATAGGCCCACCAATGCCAATCTACCAAGAGATACTCTAGTGATATTTGCCAGAAACTATATATCGAAGTAATCTTGCTTTTTTTTATATAAGTAGGAAATTCTAGAAAAAAATAGAGGCCAATCATGTTACTAAAAGTTTTCTTCTTTTTCTACATAACGAAAACATGATAACTAATTTATAGGTGAATACTCTTGTGTATGTATTTGTGCATGTAAAATTATTTTATTTCAATTTGGGTTGGTTGTTGTACAAATTGTCCAATGAAATAGAGGCTTACGACTTAATCATGAACTGTGAATTTTAAGAAAATATCATAAACAAAAGTAAAGCGAATAGTGAATATAAAATCAAAATTGTTAGTATTACCTGATTAGTGTAACTTGAAATGCCTGTTTCAAATATTTTTTTTGTCTGATAGTTGAATGAAACATATATCAAACCTGTAACAACTGATGTACAAGTTTTTATCTCGTCTGTGATGTAAATATATGTGAGCCATTTTTTCTTTCGCTTGCGCATAATATGATTGGTCCGGTTTTATGTTTCTCAACATCGTTAACGCTTGTTCAACATCACCCCGACTAAGTGATAAATCAGCATTTGCAATTGTAACTCGAATCTGTTTAAATATGTAAAACGAAGGAGTATAACATTAGAAAATAACAAAAAAGTGCATTTCAAACATTTTGCGGTTGCAATACTACATTCTTTTTTTCTTTTTCTATGATCTCAAATGATACAAGATATCAAAAATATCAAAAAGGTGACAGGACCAAGGCACTGGAGTCGAAGTTTAGCATGTTTTTAATGATAGTTTCTATATATTGTACCTGAAGTAGTTGCTGCAATCCAGATAATTTTGGAGAAGACTTATATTCCTAACAGTATCACAAAACAAATATAATCACATTCCAATTGCTCAAAATCACGAGACTTCAAAGGAAAATACTATTCAAATTCAATAAGCAAATTCGATATATTTGACAAATTCTTACCTCTTCTGATGTGCCTTGAAATGCATTGATTGCATCCTGCATTACTTTGATAGCTTCATGCTGGAAAAGGTTACGTAAATTTATGCATAATTGTAGTCAGTTACATAGCATGATAAAAAAAAAATTATTGAAATACAAGTTAAACTTACATGTTCGTTATTCTTTGTATGTGCATGAACTAATTCCAAGAATATTGATAGCCGATCTGTTGCTGAAATCACAGATTTCTTCACTGGAAAAATAGGGACAAATTTGGTGTTTGGTGATAAAAAAATACATTTTTGACATGTTTGGATGGCCCAAAAAATTGCTAACGATAGTTAAAGCATTTCGTGTCACAATTTATGTGTTTTCATCCTCAGTTTTGAAGGTAAACCGAGCATAACGGAAAATTTTTGCATTTCTTGCAATTTACAGCGTATGAAATAGCTCTTAAACTTTATTTAGTATCTATCGTGAATTTTACTGTTAGCCTGGCGTTGTTAATGATAATATGGTTCAGTTTAAGATTGTGGTATTAATTTATAAAATGTTATTTCGTTTAAGTGTGATCAGAGTTATGCGCATATAAGCCGGATTCTTGGTGCGATCCGAGTTATTCACATATAAGCCGAACCCTTAGTTTGGTAACTCTTTTTTAAGAGTTTCAAACTTGGCTTTTATATGTGTGTATATGTGAGTGAGGATATACGGGACATATTTTGAGTTCCATTTCTATGTCCACCATCTCACTCGGGTGGAATAAATTTGGTAGGCAATGCTGAACCAGACAGATAGATTCCAGTCCTTTCAAAAATAGTAGGTCCCTGGTGGATTTTGTACAGGGCCTTATTTGTAGAGAAGACTTCAATGGTCTATCTGTGGTGGGGCTTAATCATTATACATAGAATTACCTTGTTTTTGTGAAGCTGAAGGTGGTTTTTTAACACCAGGTATAGCCAGAGCCATTTTCAAAGTTTGAATTGCTTCAACAACTTCACCAGACTTGACCAAAGTTTTAGCTTTAATAAGATGATAAAGAGGATGGTCTCGAATCTAAATGCAGAAAATATATTAAAATATGTGTAATAGTACATTTCAATCAATAAGAGGGATTTTAAATATGAGGACATCTACTGTTATATGGAAGAAAAATTTTCTTTGCATTCAAAGTATTTTTTGAGTTATTTAGTATTATTTCAAGATATATTATGCTCACATTGTAAACTATTCAAACTGTATAAAAGTCATATTGCAATTTGTGCGCCACACTAGCTAATGACCCATTAAAGGTCATGCTCCTTTCATACTGAGGGAGGAATGAAGAGTTTTAAAATTGGCAAAAGGAGAAATGTTTCAAAAAAGTTTGGAAAACACTGAATTAAAAAGTTATTGCTAATTAACAAGCACAGTATATAAAATTATTTTTGGACGAAAATTTCTAGAAGCACTAGAAAAAACAATAAAAGTTTATGTCATATTTAAAAATTGTATTTTTCATGTAGCCTCCAGCTAACCAGGCACATTAATTTCAATATACCCATTCTAGCACACTATTGAGGCCTCAGCTTGTCAGACATATTCATAGTTCTCAGAGTATGAATGAATGTTCTTTTTACTGTACTCTTTCCAGTTTTAGTTGAGCCTGAGTCCTCACTTGGAGCAAACATATAGAAATAATACAATATATTTATAAAAAATTTCAGAATAAACAACAAACCTCAAAATTATAACTGAGAGCTGATTCAAGATACTGAGAAGCAATTGCATAATTTCCTTTGTCCTGATGGATCTGAGCCATTAACAAATGTGCATCGCTGTATGAGGAATCTTGTTCAATACAATGTTGTAAGGTTGTAAGAGCAGCATCTGCTTCTCCTAATATAATTTAGAAGATGCATAATGCATATATGATAGATTACAAGTATATAAACTAAGATCTATATGATCTCTGTTTGTAGTTGAGCTTATAAAATGGCTTGCTTAAAAGAACATAAACGAAGCATATAAAAGAAAATAAAGTTGTCTGTACAGATGGCGTGCATGGTGACAATATGACTATGCAATCATTCATCAGTCAGTTACTGTATTAAAATGAAGTATTAACAAAGTATTTACACATTTTGTGACAGCACAGCATGATGGTGTAGCCTTATGGAGGAAACCACTAAAGCATTATGACCCGAGTATAAATCCTGGCATGCTCATCACCACAGGTCATACAGTACTTTGGTGTGGCAGCTGTTATATTTTATGTGGTTATATTTGAACCCTTTATCATAAGTATTGCCTGAGCTTGATAAAATCAACAGAGATGTGTCGCAGGATTTATGAGGATGTCACGACGATGCTTGAATATGATGGAGTCGAAACTCGAGAGTTTAAACAAAAAAGAGCAAATTCATATTCCTCGGAACACTGGTTTTACCAAGCTTCCACTAGGGCATAAGCCTAGCTTCATCTAGCTTATTCTCGTATATTTCATCGTAAAAATTTCATTAAAAAAATTTGAGTATTGTGAGTTTCCACAAATGCAGATTAACTCTTTTGTTCCGTATAACTTATATATTCGTATTACCATCCTTGGTCATAATAGTTATTTTCGGACTATTTTACGTTTATGTTCATGTTTTGTGAAGTATTCCGCACTAACTAAATCATTTTGAGCATCCAACTATGATCCGTGCTTGATCTGTCAACATTTTGTTTTTTTGTAAATTTTTTATTTTACTACTAAGTGAATTTTATTTGTGTAGGCATTTCAAAGCTTAGAGATACACGAAAGTATTTGTCATTACTTCAAAAATAAGTCATTTGAACGAGCGGGAAACAATTTCGCGCACATAATAAACAAACAAAGATTCCAGACAACTATCGTGGACATGCTCTCACATATCATTGATTATTTCGCGTTTCGCTTCGCTTGCGAAGCTGAGTCTGGTTTTTCTGCAAAGGTGACGTAACCCTCTTTCAGAAGAGCGCTTGGAATTTCGTTTCTTTGTAACACGTGTTCATCGAAGCGATAAGAGTGTGAAACGTTCTCTCAAAATTTTTTGAAATTTCTCTCTTCTTACACGCGTAGGGTCGAACAGTTTCGCCTACGTCATTTGGGCGCGTTTTAGTAGGAAGACGCGAAAATAAGCTTTTTAAAGAGATATTGGGGGTGTTCCTTGTACGTTTGGTTAACTGGTCATTGCATATTATAAAATGGTACATAAAGTCGATTGTATACAGCGGAAAAAAAGGGTTAACAAAAAAATACAAATTTTTATTCTTGCAACTCACCAGCGAAGAATTTTGCTTTAGCAAAAAGATACAGGGCATCCAATAATCCAGGTAGAACTTTGATAACAGGATCAAGCACAGCAACACAATCATGTAGTACTTTTGGGACAGCTTGACCTTGTGGAATAGCCTGAAGAAATAGGGAAATTATTATATAATATAACAAGGAAACAATCCTTTGGTCTGCTTTGTGTCGAAACAAGAACATAAGAATTAAATAGTAGGTAATATAAAAACTGATTTCAAACCTCTGAAGGTCCCATTGTTAATAATTCTCTTGCTAAATCAAGAATAAAATCTGGATTCAGAGTCATAAAATATTCTTCGCCAAGAGGAAGTCCCTGAAGATAGATGATGAAAAAAAAACAATTATTTATTTAGAGAAGAAAAATTACTCAAAAATAATATAGAACTTCACCATAGGAAATGTCTGTAAGATATTGACAAAAATTTTTACGATGCGTTTCAGGAATTCCAATTAGATATTGATCGTTTATACAATAAAATTATTATATGCGATAAATTTAGATCGTAAGAAGCATAGTGATGATGGAATACAAAACATATAAATTGACTTTCAGTATGATATTCGTTGATGCTAAGTCTGTATACAGATATAAGAATACCCTCATTAATATAGTTAATCATAATTGAAAATATACGTGGCAAAAAGACAAACAAGAAATTTAACTTCTCAATTAAAATTCCTAGTAAAACGCATTTAAAGTAAGCCCATACTTTCAATGACTTGAAATGAGCCTTCATTGCATCTTTTAAAAACTGATAACTTTCTTCTTGTGGTTTGTTGTTTTTTCGTGAATGTACAGCATTGAGATAGAGAAGTTCCTAGAATATTAAATAATATTATCAAACGAAAACCTCGACTTTAGGAAGCAGAGGAGCAACTGAATAATTCAAAAAAAATAAATGAGGAAAAAGAATTCGATAATATGAAATAAAATAGTAAAGAAATAGAACTTTTGAAAAAAGGTAAGTAGAGGGTTTGAAAAATTTTCAATTCATGGAAAATTGATTACCGGTGGTCCTACCAAAAGTCGATAAAAATTTCATATCTTAGAAAATAGGAAACCAATAAGATGACTTAGTTTAAAATGAATCATTTTATTCGATTACTGGAGCATTTCGGATGTGGAATTAAATAACCAATTTAGTTCATTCCAATGGGGTTGTGTTAAATTGTATATGGGTGATTAGGAATCCCTGAGAGAATGTGTCTTCGAGGCATGATCAACCATCAGACACAATAAAACAGTTCTATTTGTGACTGGGTTCTCGGGTTGACATCACATACTAGCATGTCTTATATAATGACACTCTTCTTCTGAACCTTACAATCCATTCATCATTACACTAAATTAGGAGATGATGAACATATTTTTCGTTACAGGAACGCTGTTCTAGTTCGTGATCTGATCACCTGACCACATCCTAACCTTAATGGTTAACTTAAAGAGATCTTCAGTCTCATATAACGAAGGGCTCATTCCGACCAGACGCACCACACTGATTCTTGAAGGTGAAGAAGTATGACTAGAACCTTTGATTGGATATATTCTACAGTTTTTTATCCAATCAACCAATCAAAATCCAAGTTCATCAATTCAAAGGCAGCACCTTCATGAACTAAAGGTTATATAATCTAGGGATTGACAAAATAAACTTATAATATTTATCCCTCGAGAAAGCCGTAACCAATGACATCATCAGGGCGATACTCACAGGATCTTGTCCAATAGCCTGTTGTACTTCTCTTAAAAACTCAAGCTGTTGACTGACTTCAGCTAGCACTTCTTTTCTTTGCTGAGTTGAAGAAACGTCATCAGAAAATAGCTGGCATCTAATGACACCAGTCAATGCCACGACACTTGTTTCATCCAATTCCATGGCATTTTTATAGCATTTTATGGCATCACGAATCTTACCCTGTCAAATAAAAAAGATTAATAAACAAACATGATATGTTTATATGTTAGTATATTGAATATTTTTTACATTAAATAAAATAAGAAATAATTTTACCTGCAAAAACAATTGATATCCAAGCTCACAAGTAAATTCAGCACTGGTTGCATCGACTGAAATTGCTCGTTCAAGTAATGTGTATGTTTGATTGAGAATTGGAAGATTTCTTCCGCACTGAGAAATAAATGAAAATGGAAACGTCAAAACTGTTACTTCAAGGCGAATAAAATATCTCAAAAATAATGTTCATACCATTCTTGCAAAAAGTTTCCCGCTGTTTACATAAAGCTTGGTGTTCTGCGGCTCAAATCTATCAATGACCTGAAATTACAAATAAGTTGAGAAAAATTGGGGAGTTAAATATAGGAATATAATAAGTAGGTGCACTGAGTTTGCTGAAAAATAAGTGTGACATTAGAAAAAGGTGTTCCCTTTTACTTGAAATGAAAACTCGAATTAGTGAAATATATTGGGTTCTATTGGACCCAAACAAAATTTGAGCAAAAAAAATTAAAACTAATAGTCGAGCGACTCCTTCAATCATAAAGTACTAAATTTTTTTCATATGTATTGGTTTATTAATGGTGAAAGAAGGCGATCTTCAAACCTGGATTAACTCTCCCAACATGGTAACAACATCCGAAGATTTTCCTTCTCTTGCCATTGTGTAAATGATTTGAGTTTTCAGAGCTTCAGGATGGCGTGAATCAATGTTTAATAATCTAAGAAAAAATTGCATTAATTTTTGACTGGTTCACACAATTGTTGGCTCGACGTTGTCGAATTATGCTAGGTGTTACAACCACGTTTATCATCACATCTCCATTCCCCCTGCCTGAGTTCACAGGGGTAAAAAAAGTATATATTGTTAAAACAAGCCTGGTAGGCAATGATGTATATACTAGATTGTGAGATGATTTGAATGAAGAATGAACCATCACTGGTCAAATTGAATGATCAAAGTTTCAGCAATAATCGAAAATCTGAAACTTGAAAATGAGAAAAAGCCGGTATATATTTTTCATTCCAAAATCCCTCAAAACTTTTTAATGAAATACTTTTGGATATTGTTTCAATCAGTGACCAGATACAAGCTTCAAGGGCACCCAAAAACATGTTCATTTATGTCCTTTTTTTAATTTTTTTTTGTCTTTCGTTCTGAAGAATGCACTAAACAAGCAAGTTGAAAGCAACTACTGATACCTAACGATATGTAAGGATCCTTTATATTTGGGAAGATCTGAATCTTCCTGGGTTCGACATTGCCTACTCAATTTAATGTACCATGGGTGCAACAGCTCCTGAAAACCCTCAAAATCACCTGTTAGCAGCTTCAAGTGTTTGGTCCCAATCTTGTAGAGCAAGATGTAATCTCATTCTTTCAACTAAAGCAGGAGAAAAATTTGGATATGAAACTATTGCTTGATTCACCAATTCTAATGCGGCTGAGAAATTTTTTCTTTTCACATTATATCTGAAAAATAGAAATTCACATGTTATAATTAAGAGGTAATTTAGATGAATTGTATGAAAATTATATTTATGAATGAAATCATACATATTTGATTATTTCTTACATATCATACATATTTGCTTAAACCTATGGGTAGGGGGTATATTCACTTGGCTAACACAGAAAATCCTCAAACTCGTAAGTCGTAATAAAACTAAAACAAGAAGATCGGAACAAAGTTATGGCCTAACCCTAACCTGGTACACACACTACTGGAGTACCATAAATTTGAATATTTTGCATGAGGCACGAAAAAGTAAGCAGTAAATTATCACCTTGATTTCCCAATTAAGGCCCACGGATCTTTATTATTTGAAGACAAGCCTTCATCAAAGTATTTGACAGATTTTTTCACATAAGCATCTCTATCAGATGTTAAATCAATCCATCCTCTGAGAATTTGTCCCTGATAAAAAGAATGTTATTTTTAGAAGCTACCACTATGCTATCCAAGTTTCACAAATAATCTGGAACCCGCCGGTTTGAACTGTTTTTGTAAAATTATTCACTGAATAACAACTAGATATTGGTGAGTGGTGACTTAACATCATGAAGTCATAATACGTGGCACATAAAATAACAACCGATAGAAACCTGTTGAAAACAAAACTGTTTTATTGAAAGTCTTTAAAAAGGGGGCCATGGGGCCTGGAGTTTGAATACCCCTGATTTATAAATAATCTTTAAGCCACTATATTCATTTGCATTCACAAATAGCATGATAAGTTTATTTCTATCTTCATCCATAATATACAGCCCACAACTTTATAAAACTCACTGAAGCAGTGTTGAAATTCTTCAACTGTTTATCTACATACTCTCTTGCTTTATCTGATCGACCAAGATGCCAAAGAGAGAGTCCAGCAAAATACAGCGATTTGTCTGTTGCTGATCTTCGTTCTTCTTTGACCCTTGCGTCAAGTTCATTAACAGCATCACGATCTGAACGGCACAATTATTGAAAGATACAGTAAATAAAAATCCTTGAATATATGACTAAGATGACCACCAGGAATATAATATTCAAAAAAATTTTCCGTATGTTATGAGAATTAAAAGAACTGTGATTTATTTAATCCAGCAAAACATGAAGAGAAACATACATCCCATTAAAAAAAAAAGTAATATTAGTCTTCAACCAAATTTGAAATAGATTGTTAGTTAGATGCGGAGAATATCAATTTTCAAACCCTTACAGCGAAAACACTACGTATCTAATAACAGTAAGCTTTTGCTTAATTTGTAACTTGAAAATTCTATTGACATTTCTCTACTCTTATGCATTTAGTGATTTGCTCGTGTTTTCACCTAAAAGGTTGCACAATTTGGGGAGCACTTAGGAACTGGAACTTTTTTTTGAAAATTGAACAAAAAATGTTTATAATATACAGTCAGTTAATAAAATATAGTCAGATTTAAACATCCTCCCTTGTTTTTAAAATGTATGTACTGTAGTTTTTAAAATATTCATTCACCTGGTGTTCTTGATTTTTTATGAGCCATAATGAGAGCAATCATACTTGCAAGAGAAACATCTGGTTTATCCTTGATTACTTCAAGTTCCCTCATGCTTTCTTGAACTCGTCCTGAGGTAAAAAAAATTTGATTATATATACCGTAATGTTGCTAGATTTCAATGATAAATAACAAATAAATGCCCAAAAGAAGTTAATTTGTATGTATGTAGATAATTCAATCATGTGTAAATTCAAGCACAATCTTCATTTTATGATACATGGGACAGAATTTATCATATTTATTCCGGGAAGAGAAAAGTCACTAAGGCGACTTATTCATATAGCAAACCAACCTCGCATCAGCTTATCAATACATGTTTGGTATGGGAATTGTTATTTGATTCATATATATGAACTTGATAGTGGAGAATCGTAGCAGACCAGTAGTTATGTGATGACATCACAGGATGGTGAGGAGTCCAGCAATTCTCCTGAATATTCAATATATCTAACAGAATTCGAACTTGCGAATAAGAGTTAGTGGCAAGCATGCACGTAAAGCTTATTGTCTTGATAAAACTCTTGTACAAGTTTGGATTAAAATGGTAAATCAAGTGATAAAGAAGCAAAATAATTATATAAAGTTATAAACCATACAACACACACGGATGATACCTTCCATTAATAGTGCCAATCCTTTGAATAGCACAAGAACAGGATCTGATCCAAATTTTCTTGTTGCATCCACCGCTTCCATGTGAACCTTTCTATAGTATGATTCACTCATGTAGTAATTCAATACAGTCTGAATAAATATTGGCACCGTTAATATATTTGTTCCTATATTTGGGTGTATTTAATTTTAGTCATACCCTGATAGAGCCTAGATACATCATGAGGATGTTACTAACTACATAATGTATCATGAGGATGTTACTATTGCTACCTAATGTATGTGTTGGCCGATGGGCATAATCTTGACTTTTAAGGCCAAATAATTTGACGATTGGGTTAGGCAGTTCCGGATGGTGTCTAGCTAGCGCAGACCAAGTGTATTTGTCTGAGTTTTGCAATAATTCAGTGGTGGCGATGATTAAAGCCTTTCAGCTCTGACAATAGACGACGCAAATTTTCTTGTGATTTTGCACGCAATTATCAGGTTGTTGCTGAATATATATTTATTATGTTGAAACTTTGCACGAAGCTCTAAAAATGGATGTAGTGCCACATAAAATACTACCATAGGGCGTTTCTTGTGTCATTGTTCCCCGCCACAAAAGCGGTATCGTCGGTGGTACGCGGCCACGGTAAAAAACACAAAAGTGGTACGCGGTCAGTAAAAGGTTGAAAACCACTGGTTTAAATGAACATAACTAGTCTATAATTACATATCGTGATTCGTGACAAATATATTTCCTGAATATTGGAAGCAAAATAACAATTTTCAAAAATATCCCTACAGTTGTAACGTTAGCATATTATAACTTATTCGTATACTGCAGGCGTACCCGGTACATCTGCGTTCTTACTACAGTACTATTGGTGTATTCTTACTATTGATGTATTCATGTATTGAGATATTGTCAGATTCTGACAGTGAACAAAAAATTATCAAGAAATAGAATGTTAAGAAAAATACTTGACATACCAGAGTTTCAACATCGTCGTCCGCCATGTTGCAACTCCTTCGATTTCTCAACAGTGATGAAAAATACAGGCTTAAATATGCAATGATCCAAAGTAACGAAAACTGGAGAGAATTTGTACACCAAATATTTTCCCACGGGGTCAAATTTCATGGTTGATAACTCACGGCAAATTTCATTTGTTTCTTTGGTGGTTTTTCTCGTATCTGCTATAATAATTCAATTTATATTAAAAATAATAAAATTAAAATAAAAATACTGCAAAAGATATAATTAACTATAATATTGAAAAATAGAAAGCTGAAGATATACGCATGATTTACTATCATGACCCCGCCTGACGTAACCTGAGCAACCACTGTATACAAACAGATCCGAATCGCGGTTTTCTTCCATTGAGTTTTTTCGTAGGTTATAAGCCAATGGGTTTTTGATTGACATAGTTTTTCACGTTTTGTGTGTTTTAATCAGAACTGTACTGGAAAAATTATTTGTCATGAATGGTAAGTTGTGCATATAAACAATTATTTTGGTAGATCGGAAGATAATATCTGATTGCTAGTTCCTGTATTCTAATGTTTTGGAATTTTAGTTTTGTTCAGTTAAGTTAAATGTCTGTATTTGCCTATGCAATCCACCTTTTCTATGCCTGTGAACTGTTAGTTATGCATATAATTAAAGGATTAAGCCATCTTACTGTCTTATTGGTTTTTGTTGATGAAGTATAAGTTTATTTCGACTCCATAATCAGCAATAGACGATAAAATAATAAAAAAAAATAACTGATAATAGAATCGGGAGAGCAAACAAAACCTCAAGTAAGGTTTGAAGCGTAAAAATGAAAATCTCATCATATCAGCATATGCCATCATATTTCTGTATCTGATTCGCAAAATCTCAATAGCAAATCTTCCAAAGAAATCTTACAGTATCGAGGATTAACATTTGAATTTTAACATATCAATTTTGAAATATGCTTTATAAATTATGCTGGTATTTGATCTGCTGAATCTGTGAACAACTGAAAGCTGCCTGTAGCACCTGTAAAGTTGCAGTTACCTTACCACATAGTCAGTAGTTTATTTTATCACAAACCGAAAGTAAACATTGGACAAACATAAATAAGAAAAATAAAATATTGCATTTCAGTGTGAAAGGAGACGCGATAAACCAGAGATGGTTATCGAGCAGCGTCACCTTTGAGGGAGTGAGTCTAACGTTAAATCATACTGAGAAAGAAGTCAAACATAATATACTAACAAAAGCCAGACTTTGAGACACCTTCAAGCGACCCGATATCCCGGTGTCACTCACACATTGATTTTCTTGCGCAAAATTGTCATAATTTAATTTTTAAAAGGCAAAAGAGACATTCGTTACACCAGTATTCACGATGCTGTCATGCATGGCTCAATCAAACAGCTGGAAGAAATGGTGAAAAATGGAGCAAGTGTGAATGAAGTAGAACCAAAATATAAATTCACACCAGTACATTGTGCTTGCTATGCTGGGGCTGTAGAGGTAATTGCTTTGTGTCAATATAATAGATATAGCAGTATTCGAAGATAAGGAAAATACAGACTTTGCATTCAATTGTTGTAAATTCAAGAAATATTAGAGAAGGATGCTCAACTTTAACTCTTCTCAATTTCACATTTACTATTAATACTGAACAATTACTTTTCAGTGCCTACATTGGTTACTGTGGCATAAAGCGGACACAGCTGATGTTACACCAAGATGTTGGACAGCTGCACACATTGCTGCCATGAGAGGGCAGGATGCTTGCATGCAGGTAATTAAACATATCTTTTTAGTGGATATGAAGTTTTGCTAAATTTATTCAGAGTCTTTTAGCATTCTACATTTCAGTTGTTTTATTTTGATTAAAAATAACACTTTTTGTTCTGTCACTATTGTGTGTCGATCTTTTTCAGCAAACTTGAAGCTTTACCTACCGATACGCTATTTTATTGTACATATATTTGTGCCTTTCTCTTTTGTATACAAAACACTGCTAAACCACTGTAGGATGTAGAATTAGATAATTTTGATATTTCCTAATTAGTCTTTGGCATGCAAATCTTGTATCTTTCAAACTAATATGAACTAAATGTTGTTTACTTTATTATTATCACAGGCTCTTGCTAATAATGGGGCAGATTTTTCATGTAAAGATGATAGAGGATCATCACCAGCTCATCTTGCTGCATCTCATGGACATTCATATACATTACAGACCATTCTAAGAACCGGAGTGGTAGGCTTTTGTTATTGTTAAAAAATATTGCTATTATCTGAACATAACTGCTTAGGACAGTGGTTCCCGACCTTTTTTTTGGAATTGCAACATATGCTTATTGTTGAACTCTCTATTCCTCCAACACTATGCATAAGAACTACTTTATTTGTTCCATCGTTAATGGATTATCAGCTCTGTAGCTAGAGTTATGTGTAATGCGCACTACTGCTTTTGTACAGTTCATGTAATTTATAATGTGTGCATGAGTAATTGTAGTAGTGATATAGAACTGATCAATATTATTAATACAATACTACAGCAAAATCAAAGTGGTTGAATAGACGAAATATGAAGTCAGTGCATATTGAAACATCGTATGACAATGAGTCCACCATCTTTTCAAACATGATCATACTGATTCAATTTGTTGACAGTTACTGTATATATTTGCAGATTATTATTAAATTATAGTGACTGATTATATCTCATTATCATAAACATTTTATTGTTCTTGTGTAGGACTTAAACACACCTGATTTTAATGGCTGGCTTCCAACACATTCTGCTGCTTTTCATGGAAGATTAGGATGTTTACAGATGTTATCAAGATGGGGATCTAGTGTAGAAGATGTTGATAATGATGGTAATACTTCAGTATTTCATTTTTACAGCTACTAAACGTAACACTGATACATTAATACATTAAGATCATGCTAATCAAATTGTTTGTGACATGCTTGCAATTGCTATTAATATTCATTTGCTGATTCTATTTATTTCAAACAAGCGGTGCAAAATTGACCTTCATAGATGTTTAAATAAAGTATTGTTACCTTTCGACATTTCATGATACACACCATAAAACTATGATTCATGAATGGATAATTTGATAATGATAATTTGCTCGACTGTTTGTGAGTTCTATCCATTGCTCTTGTCAAAATCATTATTGAAATGCTGTTTTTTTAATATCAATTGTATAGGTAATACACCTGGCCATTTGGCAGCACAAGAAGGACACTTGTCTTGCCTCAAGTATCTGATTTCTCTGTCAGTTGAACCTGAGAGAGTGTTATCTGCTCGTAATGATCAAGGGGAAACACCTCGTGATCTAGCAAACAGATTTTATAAACAGAATATTGTGGAATTTCTTGATCATTATGAGTTGGAGAAAGATGGCTTGGACGAAGAAAGTATGTATGATTTGGTTATTAATTATTATTATTATTATTATATGAATAAGCAGACTCAGGTTGCAGATAATATATTTTCGTTATGCATGATGTTTTGTACAATCAAGCGAAAGAATTAAAAAAATGAATCAATTGAAAAGCAGATATATAACACCTTGACCACAATTAACTGTGGGCCACAAAATGATATCGAGTCGTTGTGTCACTAACATCATTTTTATGATTAAATATGTCAGTTTAGGCTCGTAACATCATGCTCGGTTGAGCGTAATTACAACAATGAATGACTGACTAACGTGACACTGAAAAGTGCAGACAACTGATGCTTTAATTTGAGCATTTTAGAACATCAAAAAATGATCCAAATTCCAAATGGATAAATTTTATGTTGAACATCAGTAGTTGATTGTTATAGTTCATTCACAAAGATTTCAAATCAGTCTTCTATTCTCTATAATAATATTAACTTATTACTATCTACACCAACCTACTTTTCAGACCTTGCTTTCCCTGCTCATGTGGCTGCTTATAAGGGTGATTTAGCAACATTGAAAATGCTAATTGAACAAGGTGTCATCAACATCAACGAAAGAGATAACACAATGTCAACTCCAGCACATAAGGCAGCAGGACAAGGACAAATTGAAATATTACAATGGCTGATTGAGATGGGTGCTAGCAGTATGTAGAGAGTTTTTACTTCTGACAATGTACCGTACATACTCATGCTTAGGCATCCATTATTTTTGGCACATATACATTATTTTGTGAGAACTTTGATAATATTTCTTAATAGCCAATCTTGATGCACTGCTTGAAGATATGATCTTAACCATATCCTTCAATAAATTCGAAAATGTGATTGATTTGTTGAAAAATTAAAAAAAAATTCGATAAATTTTAACCACAATAAATATACCTTTCAGTGGATATCCAAAATTCTAACGGACAAACACCGCGAGATGTTGCAAATCGATTTGGACAACTTGGTGCATTACAATTACTTGGTGGTTCTGAATCTGATGATAGTGAATCAGATTACAGTGATGAAGAGGACCTACCATTGAGGGGTATTTGTAATATTCGTAGACTTTTATATGACTTCGAATTTATGATTATTTCATATGGCATTTTCACCTACCTACATATTGTTAAAATTCATCTTCATGAAAGTGATAATACTTTCTCTTCATTTGTTTCAGTAAGGGTAAGAATGAACTTTAGCAAGGTGTTCATTGTCCAATCTATCTTAATTATTAATATAATAACACTTACTGCTCAATTTACTTTCCATAACAATAATAGACTTAGATCGCTTGGTAGCCTAGTTGTGGCTCAATGATTTACACATTGCACAAAGCCATAGGAGCACACTTGCACAACTGATGCATTGGGGCTCCCGAAGTATGCGAACCAAGATGGCGGACATCGGAATGTAATATGTGTACTAGGTTAGGGTTAAGCCATAATTTTAGGTATAAATACTACGGCAGGCTCTTGGCTAGTCTTCGAACTGATAATAGGACTAAAATAAGGAAAATTGGAAAAAAATTATCGCCTAACCTGTTACCAATGTTACGTTCCGATGTCCGTCATTTTGGTTCGCATACTTCGGGAGCACCTTCAATCCTTATTTTAAGGTTTAGCTGGTGATTCAAGTGACAACAAGGGATTATTGTTGGATCCAGAAGAGAAAAGAGCATCAAGATGTAAGTGTAGTAGTGCTTAATAAAAATGATCATAAACAATATCATTCAAAGCAATATGGTAGATTGGATGATTGGCTCAGATTTGTATAAGTCTCCATGGTTGAATAAATTAAATCCAATTTCTGGAAATTTCAGCAATCTGTAACAAAAGTTGTGGTGTCTTGTGAAGAATGACGTGAGCATATGACTATTTCTATGGTGCAAGTCTCCCGTTTTTATTGGATATGTTTGTTGAATTTCATACTTTCTGGAATTTTGCTGTGTTTGCTTAATTATTTGTGACATGATTCTATTTTTAACAGCACGTGCTCATACCAAAATGGAGAGAATAGAACGAATGCTGAAAATTGCGAAATCGAATTATAAACAACTTGGTGGTGAATTAGAAGAAGACAGGAGACGATTGAGAGAAGATGAAAAAAATAAAAGGTTTTTATGACATTTACAAAATTATGACCAGTTTTTATAGTAAAGGAAACATTTTTATATAAACAATTTTTATCAACAATGTTCTTCATGATTCCGATACTCTATGATTTCTATACTCTATGACACTCATTTTGAACTTAAGAACTGTGTTGTGAACTTCAAAACATGAAATCTAAGTCATTAACAAAATATATAACATAATTTGGTATTGCCCAATCCAAGTATATGGTAACTTGTTGATTCACCTAATAAAACACGATTTAATGTTTAATGACTTGTATATATCAGAAACTATTAAGAAATAAAAAATACTTTGGTAAAACTAGGCCCTGGATTTTACTTCGTCACAATTGTTCAAATGCTAAACCAAATAAAAGTGTGACTAGAATAGAGAACTTAATGCATTTCCCTGGCTTACACCTCGATAAACAGAAAACTGGTAAAAAATTAGGGAGGATTTATTTTTCAAGATCTTGCAGACCACGATTTGTGAGATGTCTGTCATGATTTTCTGTTTACTAACTAAAAGCAGGAGTTGTTATAACGAGATGACAATATTGCTTTTGTTTTCCATGATCTATCTAATCATGCTCTCCTTGTGCAACGCTTATTATAGCTGCATTTTATTAACAGGACAATCGCAGAATTAGAAGAACAACTAGATTACGAAAGAATCAAACGAGAAGGATTAGAGGCTCAATCTGATGATTTTAGAGCAGAAACTGCTCATCTCAACTTACAAGTTGAACATTTATCAAAGAATCTTCGAGACACAACTGCTGTAAGTAATAAGGACAATAGTGAGGATGTCGCCCCATGTTCAGTGTTTTGTTCTATCAAGCATATTCGGTTTTGTAAAGATATCATTGCGCATGTCTGGATGCATCATTTGCGCCAAAAGAGACTTGCTTCATCATTTTGGATGCTATTGCCAATTTAGCGCCATATTATATACTGACTAAGATCACGATTGTTTACTACATGTGTATATTATTTCATTTTTCCCAGGCATATGAGAAGCTACTTGCTGACAGAAGGGCACGAAAGAAAAAACCTAAGAAAAAGAAAGACATGTCAGGCGGTACTTTTATCGTTAGAAGCAAAATGCAATGATATTTGTAACGGAATGCTTTGTGCAATTGAGAATTAAAAAGTTGACATATTTCGACAGTATATCTAGTTCTACCTACAATTAACCTTATTTTTTGCAAACACATCAGTTAAAAAATTCTCAGGCTTTCAGGAAGTTTCAGGATTGGATCCACAACATGTTCGTTCATTCAACATTTAATTGTTTGTATCATATGCTAGAATTCTAAGGTACAAACTGTGGTGCAACTAAAGGTTTTGCGATACACCAACCCAATCTTTCTTTTTGTAGAAATAGCTATGATTTAATATTACACAATTATTATATTCATGTTTTCATTTTAATCATGTTGATTCTGGCGTTTATGTTTTCCACCACTGTAGTTAAGTTTGTGTTTTGTCTGTTTCATTTTGTGTGTATTATTTCTATACCATACAATTTGCACTATCATAAAATTTGATTATTTTATTATTTTGATTAAAAGATGTGTAAATTAAATGATGAAGTCATTGACATTAGGGTATGAATATTTTGTGTATTTTAAAAATCACAAAAATGGAAATTAATACACCATACAATTCAATATACTCAGAAGAATCAATTCCTCCATATCCTTAACAACCATTTCATATTTGTAGCATGGAAGCAGTTTCTTGTTACAAAGAACAAAACACAAATATTCCGAAATTTTGGTAAATCTGGGACTCTCAATATAAATATGTTGTAGGTTCGCATTTCGCTGGTTTCAACGGACGCATCGCGTTAAGCATTAAGAACACGCTTGACATCTAACCTCTTATTACAAGATCAGACCTCGATGCATGATTGAAGAATCAGGAGAGCGAACAAAACCTTATGTAAGGTTCATAGCGTACAGAATATAAATTGGTAGGTTTTGCCAAAAAAAAGTGACATGTGTTCACTCGCCCAAAATGATTAAACTAATTCACACACAACCACAGAGATAAAATAAAGCGAGAACTCAGATAAAATAAATAAACAGTAACCAAGAAAGTAAGAATTATTCGCCACTATATATTTTTAATTTTATAACGGTTGCCAAATTGAATATAAACGCTGATATAAATTTAAATCTAAAATTTAAATTTAAAAATTTAAATCAAGAAAGCTATGCTCAAATATATGGGCACGAAATTGCAGGGCAGGATCATGCCGTTCAGAAGCCATAAGCACTTGAGACTTTTGTGTCCTATAGCTAAATAAAAATAATAGGAATGTAACTAGTGTTTCGTGATATCTGAAATTGAATAAGTAAGTTTTAGTATACATCACGTGATCTTATTTTGAAAATAGTTCTAATGCCCACAAAAATTTTAGGTGGTTTGGGATGATACTGGAGAAGGCAAGCAAACCTTATTTCAACCCGGCAAATATTGCCCATTTCTCTTTGATGCCCTAAGCTTATTTTTCCTAAATATCAATTCAGCCCTGGCTACAGCATCCTTGTGTAGCGAGTACGTGAGGTAAGTTACTATGTATTTTATTAACTTCCACCATGTATTGTTAATAGTGCCTGACATTTGCTTCATGATACTTTCCCTCGCCCACTATTGCTTGTCTTTATCGTTCTTTGTTAGTTAGAAATTTGGTTCCATCGCATATACTTAAGTTGAGGTTTTAAATGTAACTCGGTATCTGTTTTTGGATTCAATTCGATTGTGCACCCTTACAATATACGAACATTTGGCATTACAACACATTGCGCGCTTATTGACCTCTGAAAAAGTCATTTGAGGTTTTACTCCGCTAACGTGTGTTTAATAACACGGGGGTAAGAACGCGCAGATAAGGTCAATCTTTTCCTATACTTGCATTATTATACGCCCATAAGTCCGTCAACATAACAGAGCAAGACTGAATAGAGTAGTATCGCGTTGTAACCAAAACTAATACCCTCAGTGAAATCGAATATTAACAGTATTGAAGTAAAATTCTATTTAAAACGTTTAACGACGTACGCCTTCAAACAGTATTGAAGTTACGGTGAAATGCTTTTCAAATGTTTAACAACTGACAACTTTAAACAGTATTGAAGTTACGGTGAAATGCTATTTAAAACTCAAACGACTGACGTTTTTAACAGTATTGAAGTTACGGAGAAATGTTGTTTAAACGCATAAGGAATGACGCTTTTGAACAGTATTGAAGTTACGGTGAAATGCTGTTCAAACGTATAACAACAGGCGCCTTTTAACAGTATTGAAGTTACAGTGAAACGCTATTTAAATGTTTAACGACTGACGCTTTTCAACAGTATTGAATTTACGGCGAAATGCTGTTTAAACAAACGTCGGTCAGTAAATGTTCAAACAGCATTTCACCGTAACTTCATTGCCATTAAAAAGCATCAGAGGTTAAATGTATTAAGTAGCATTTCGCCGTAACTTCAATACTGTTGGAAATCGTAGTATAGCTATTACTATTTATTGTTGGGTCACCGTCAGCAATCTTGACTCCATTCAGTAGGTTTCCATTTCGTGTCCGACAAGGAGATCGGCAATAACAAAATGATTCATAGGTACATTTCGTGTCCGATGGATGTTTCCCCGACCCTTGACCCCAGAAAAAATCTACCTATACTTTAGAGAGAAAGAGAAATTTAATATTTCGCCAAACAAAAAATACAGTCATCAATAAAATAGCAACAGCAATAAAATTGTTTCGGTATAGATAGGATGGGGCGATACAATCATCGAGGTCAGCTCTCATCATATACGCTCATATTAAGATTAACATTAATAAATAGGGGATTAGATAGTTAATTACCGAGAACCCAACTACTCAACTAATTTCAATGGGTTTTAGACAATAATAACTTTCAATAATCGAAACTTTAAAAATGTGGAAAAAAGAATATATACACACAGAGGACCATGAACAAAAATTATAATGTGTTGAGAATGTGCCTAACTAACATTAAAATTAATTAAATGCAACTCAGTGACATACAGTATTGAGAAAAAGTAACACAATGAATAAAAGTAAGAGGCATTTTGAGCTTTTATTCATAGGTTTGTCATAATCTGAAAATGTTTAAAGAACGCATGACTTTATGTTTGGACTTCTTACAAACATGCATTCCCAGAATTTCAATACTTATGAGTTTTATCAGATGGATTTTAAAAACGTTTTTGACTTAAGCGAAAAGGTCAATAGAAAAATTTTAATAATTCACTATTACCGAAATATTCAACCAGGTGCCTCTAACACTGACATGGGCAAAATCCGACCCGTTGGGTAATTCAATCAATTCAATAACGACGAAATTACTTGAAGATGGAATGCATATTAGAACGAATATTATTACAAATAATTTTATGATATTTAACATTCCCTCAGGAACAAATCGGGTTGAAATAATAAATTCAAATATTCCTTCAACACATCTAAGAAATAAATAGAAAACAGAGTCTGTTTGGTAGAAATCTAACAACAAAATGCTGTTTTAAGTCAGAAAGTCGGCCAATTTGAATGAGTGAGCAATAAATCGCATCGGTTCAGCATATAACCCTCGTGTTTGAATTGGAGGGAATAAAAGAACTGATTCGTCTGCTCGTCTTTTATCAGTATAATTTCAAATCTTATTCCAAATGTCATGTGTACGTACAACCTTCTATCGGGCTCATTGTGACCTATGTAAATCGGTTCGAGGCTTGCTCGGTCTGGGAGCCAATACGGAAAAATTTCTGGTTACGGAAACTTCATCATGACTTTCCAAAGCTAAGAGCTCATCAACTCAAAGTATCGGTAAATTGACCGTCCTAAACACGTTGTTAATAGTTATTTCACAACCCGCCTGTAGATCATATTAGAGATATATATATTGTGGAGTACAAAAACACGCTTGTTCAGCTGTGAAAATAGTAATTTGAAGTTTTGTTTAAGTTACCAGGGTGAATAACAATCACTGCTAAAATCAGGTAATTCTACAGTTTTTTTTGTTTATCAATCATTCAATGGAAAGAGTTATCATTCATTTTCACAGATGACTCCGTTAACTTCGATGGAAGTTCGTTCATTAAAAATCCCTTGATATATGCTTTCCGGGTATCTACTGACACGAACAACAACAGTTGTGAACGATGCATCGACATACGGAGTATCAGGAAACCAAACCTCAGTTGGCAGAGACATAGCTTGGCCCGTTGTTGAATACAACTGACCGTTCTGTCGAGATAAATAATATATTTTGAGAAATATAACAAATTTACCGTTTGAGGATATAGTTGAGTATGGTTGAACAGGGGCCCCATTCGCCAAACTTTGTAAAAAGCCGTAACATTGTCTCTCAAAAACGCAGTTGAAACATCCCGTAAAAACTTTACGCACGGTCACGCAAGTTCTCTCGAAATCTATCGCACGGTCGTCGTTGAACAAAAACCAATGTATGATCACTCAACCGTATCATTCACTGCCGCTAGCCGCCCAGCGCGGATAAGCCTATTTGCAAGGATCTCTGTTTTACTTTTTGCAGCCTGTGATTTAAAGTTTGGGGAATATAGCAGTAATCTATGGATGAATGAAATAAATTCTAAGATACATATTGGTAAACTACTTCTGTTACGGACAACAAAATAGATGAATATGTAATCCCATATTTGATGTTGGTACGCTGTTAGTTGGCATATATAGGTGGGTCCACAGCTACTAGACTACAGTCACTCTTACCAAGTTAGGCATTTTTGATACCAATTTTTGTATGCAAACACCACAGCATTTGTTGGGGTGCATGTCGCACATACTTGTCTTAGGCCAGTAAGGTATTGAACATGTATCCTGTCTTAGTTATATCGTTTAGTTATTATGTAGATACTGGTACAAATAAACACACATATATTTTAACTTGAATTCATTCTAAGAACAGGCCGAACTACTGTTAACGAGTAAAATTTTGCCCTCGTTAGTTTGCGAGCACTCTGGCGCGTTAAAGAACTTTAGTAAATACCGATTCTCGGTAAAATGAGAGAATAAGGCACTATACGAGACGTCTGTTTTGCCGCGCAAAAAATTCTCTTGAATAATTTCTCTCGAATATTAACGATACTTCGAGAATACCATTTTTGCCTTTTACGAGAAAGTGGGCACTTTACTAACACGTTAAACGATAAAGAAGTTCGGCGAATGGCGCCCCAGGTAATCTTCGCCATAAGATCTGACAGAGCAAAACAAAATTATTTGGTCTCTAGTAGGAAACTGAATACTATAACGTGAATATTCTGCTCAGTCACACTCCAGTGATAACCTATAATGGATGAGAATTGAATGGAATAGACCAGTGTTTTCCAACCTTTTTATCGTTTTTTTTTAAGAACTTTGTATGCCTCACAAGTACTAATGTTCATTTGGGTATTAAATAAATATTAAATTTGAAGCACAGATTGTAAAAAAAAAACTAAAAGTGACACGCCTGCATTATTGGACGCTTTAGTGGACATACCGATCGTTTCAATATTATGTTGTTGTTATTGGACACGTAGTGGACATAGCGATCGTTTCAATATTATGTTGTTGTTGTTGTTCTTTGACTCGCTTTTCTCTTTGATTACTGGACCAATTGCTTCGAAATTTTCAGTGGTTAAAGTTTGATTGTTTTTCCAGAAGGCTATTACTTTTATTTATTCCTAACGTTCTTATGAATCCTATGAGATCTGATAATTCATTCAAAATTTCGCTGTTCTAAAATTTACTCATGGGAACACTGTTTTAAACTTATTTCAAGCGGTTGCGTGATCGAGCCTGCAGGTACGGTACAGCTCAGTTACCGTACCACAGTGAAATTGACTTATTCCTTTCGCGATCTTACTATTGCAGTAATGTCAAATGTAGGTTTTCTAGCAAATCTAGCCTACCGTATATGTTAATTTTGATAAGAGCAAATTGAATTGAGTTTTTATATGCCAGAGAAGAACCGTTCCACGATCGAATAGCGGGCTTACAGTACAGCAACAGGTACTGGTAAGGTACCTCTGTGAATTACGCTCTCATCTTTTCGTTACAGTTCTGATGTGAACAACATAAATCATTACTACAGGACATGGAAGAGCTATGACAGTCGCTGTACCGTTATTTGTACCCAAGTACTAGTAAGTCAGTTACTATAGCCATGTAGCTGTTTCACTATTCAGATTCGTGCATGATACCGTACCGGAGGCGTAGGGTACCCTATGGTTTTCGATGAAGTGATGATAATATATTTCGTTTTATTCTAAGTGTCCTGTGTAAGTGTCATAGCAGTTCCTTTGACGTTAACGGTACTCTCAAACTTCTGAGTTTCCAGTAGCAAAGATTTTGACGCTTCGCCGTCACGCTTGGCGAAACCACTTGAAATAAGTTTAAAAGAGTCTTACCATGCATAAAAGTTAATACAGCGAAATTTTGAATGAAATATCGGATCTCATAGGATTCTTAGAAAATTTTAAAATAAATAAAAGTAAAAGCCTTCTGGAAAAAAATTCCATCTTAAACCACTGAAAATTCCAAAGCAATTGGTCCAGTAATCAGGGAGAAAAGTGATTTTTTCATAACGATAGGAAGAAGAATAACCTGATGAAGGACAACAACAACATAAAACACACCACCGACGTTCGATGAACACGTGATCAAAAGAACAAGATAAAGAGTGCCAGCATAAAAGCGACTTTTTACGTTTTCCACTAGGTAATAAAAAAAAAGTAAAACGATTCATAGGTCCATTTCGGATCCAATATTAGAAAATGAAAGTAATAGCCTTCTGGCAAAAAAATCGATCTTCGACCCCTGAAAATTTCAAAGCAATTGGTCCTGGAATAAAAAAAAAAAGAGATTTTTTTTGTGACAAAGAACAACAACGTAATATTAAAACAATCCATAGGTTCCGTTACATGTCCAATAATGTGATTCAGACTTGACCTACCTTGTACGTCATTCCCGTATGAACCCACAAAAATGTCTCTCCATCAGGAATCATTGGTCGTAAATAATTTCGAAGCAGGTTGTAGTGTGTGACGTCTTCAATGTTAGCAAGTTTGTTTTCGCAAAGCGACTCAGAATCGCTTGATGTGACGTTTTTCATCACATAAACGATCGCTCGAAAACATTTGGAATTGTAAACGACGCCACAATTTTCGTTTGCTGGAAAAAAATCAAAATTAGGTAAAGTTTGAAGTCAAATATTTAAAGCACAATGAATAAAGCAAATTATTTTTTATTATTTACTACTGTCTATACAGCAGCCCAATAACCCTGTATGAAGGATGCCCATTCAAATGGTGATTGGGACCATTTATCCATCTTTATTCCTAATCTACCATATGGCAGCCCAATAGCCCTCTATGCATGAGGGCAGAAAAAAACAAACAAAAAAATGAATTTTAATGAAAAGTTTGTAGGCAAGGTAAGTTGTTTTGGGTTCACTGACGCAATATGAAAATACCCGAAATTTTTCCTTTTTTAGCGCCTTCGCTGCATTGGCGTTATTATTGTTAAAAACTATCCATTTGTTGGCATGGTATACCAAAAGACAAATAGTCTCATACCCTGTGGAATGGTCGTCCCTTTGATATTTATCGTCTTTTCTAGTTGATAAAGCGCACTTTCCATCTGATTCATTTGTTTTGTTAAAGCTGTGAAAAATATGTTAAATAAATATAGATTTAGCCGTCATTTTTTAATCCATATTCAGTGAATTTTTCTGTTTATAATATATATCCCTATAGTCTCGCCAAAAATAAGAATGTAAGATGGGTATTGCTGTACTACACTTCATGATCTAATTGTTGAAATTGTCGCAACAATTTTATATACGGTATATCAAGAACAATAAATGATTTGATTTTTACTTAGAGATCGATTACTTGGAGGCATGTTTGCCACCAGACCGTTTGACAAATATGGAAACACAGCAAACGTATTTCAAAGGAAGTTATATTTCGGACACGAACCTTCCAAAGCCTTCTCTGCTTCTTCTGTGCACTGCCCCTTCTAAAATAGAACAAGAGAAAAGTGTTTAAACATATGGACATGAACGCACATCCATGCGTTGAAGCCATAGCTGAACAAGGAATTTGCTGAAAACACTGGATAAAGTGTTCCCATACGTTAAAAGGTGTTCGCATGGAGTTATTTGTAGTCGTGAATTGTTGATAAAATATCGGGTTTCATCGTACTCAAAAGAATATTTCAAATTTTTAATATTCACTGTTGGAAGTCACCAAAACGTTTTTAATTTTTTTATGTGTTTCATCTGAGTCACCAAAATTGCACAGTTTCATTCCTACAAATAATGCCACCAATATGAAACAACTACTAAAGCTCTCACCGTATTGACGTCTCTCCAAGTTGGTTTCCCGTCGCAAACCATAGGCTTCCAGCATTTCTCACCTGTTATTAAAAATAAAAATTTGAAAATCTAGAAAATCGTTCTATTTGAAACAAGTTTATAAAGATAAATAAAAAAAATTATGTCACTAAATATTTTTTATCATAACGATACTAATTCAGTTACCTATTCTCTCATTGCGTGTAGCTATCTCAATGCCCATTCATTTTATTCTGTGAAACATACCGCCATTGGCGAACCTAATACTGCTTAAGAGTTACTGCACGCATGGGCTGACCGATTCAATTTCGAGAATCTGTGAATTGTATCATTTTTTTCTGGCAAACGAAAACCCAGGAAAGTCAAATTCCCCCATAGTTTGAGCTTTTCGCCCGAGTTCACATAGTTCCGAGTCCCTTTATAGTTCATATTATTCGACGTTTTCTACGTCTTCCTACCCAATCAAGACTCTATGTGAGCGGCCACAGAAACGTAAATTCCTGCTATATTTTTGATGGGCAGCAATCTTGTTAAATTAGCTTTGCTTATTCAGTTTACGGCACTCTGGGTGAGGTGAAGGGTATATATAAAATTGGGCCCGGGGGTTTTTACCCTGCGATGCCAAAATAACCGAGTCCACCGCTTTACCAACGGGCCATCACGCTAATCTACGATCGCATTTTTGTTCAAGACATAACGATTTGAGTTTAGATCACGATACCAAAATTTAAAGTTTAAAAACTAATGCATTCCAAGGAAAATTATCTTCTCATCCGAGATTTTAAAACCAAAGCGTTGTATCGCTTATATATATACTATGGTAAAAGAGCGGCCATTTAGCAAAATCTACGGTCGGGAAACGTATCGAATACGTGACCGAATAAACGAGGCATTCGAGTTAAAACAAATGTCGGTATGCGGTAAATGGCTCCCGAAGTATGCGCACCAAGAATTCTAACCTGGTACACAACCTTAGTTCAGGTTGTGCGCCATCTTGGTGCGCATATCTCAGGAGGTCCCAAATTTCACATGAACAATCATCATTTATTTTTTGTAAATTCCGCTCTCCGTCTTTGGAGTGTAACGAAGATCTAGTTAGATTTTCTTCGTACCTAAACAATCTTTAACGAGAGATCGAGATTAGCCATCATTACACCGTCATACAAACATGTAATCCGAGGAGCGAAAAACGACTGTTTAATTTTGCGATAATATTAATTATAATCGTGGATTTCCGAATAATTTTATTATGAAATATTTAAATTTGTTAAATTCTACAAATAGAGTTTTTGTCGTTGTTTTGATAACACAATATATTTTTGTTGTAGTTTGAAAAATTAATTCCGAATTTTGGTTTTTATAATCTTCGAAACATTTAATAAATAAAATAATTCTCAATAATAAAACACCGATTTTCGAGAACTTTTAAAAAAAAATTTAAAAATTCGATTTATTTTTGCTTTCGTATAAAATCAGAAATTTCAATAGCAAATGAAAACAACCAACACTAACACTATGGAAATTGTGGTACACAAATTTTATTCATGCACAAAAAAAATTAAAATCCTGGCAAGCAAGAAAACCCACAGAGCACGCTCATTTATACTTTGACAATTAACATACCTTTAATCAAAAGAAATGCCCCAATAAACATAAGAAGAATGTGTCGAATCGGAATCTTCATTTTTAGTCCAAGAATTTTGTCAAATTTGCTTCGATGGAAGTCGATTTCCGATCAGCGTAGGTCAGAATGAAGCTTCAATCTATTTGCATCAGAATATATCCTATACATACTCACCCACTATTCTAAAGCGGAAAGAGAAATTGTTTTCTCTCTTTTAAATTTCAGTACACGTGTTGCGTCACCAAAAGAGAGCTTTTGGTGCTTTTTCTTTCTCTATTAAACATTGCGACAACGTCACTACCACGCCCATGAGAGTAATATTTGGTTAAATTCTGATACTTTTTTGCGGGATATGGCATATTAACCGCAACCAGGAATCATATTTTAGGAAAAGACGGGCCAGTGCATGTCTTGCAATCTACCGCAGTCATCTCTATTATGCCTATAGTGATCAATTTAGAGAGAATACTGCACAAATTGATTCACACTGTAATCAACTGAGAGAATAAAAGTTGAGAACAACTGATATGGTGATACACTCGGCACAGGGATGAACGAATTAGTGCGGAGATAAAATTTGATTACAACAGACAAAACCAATTATATTTCTGGTATTTTTTGCATTGGTATTTTGTTTGCAATGATTAGAGTGTTAAAAATCCGAAGCCAGAGTTATGCTGGTTCAAAACGGCAAAAGTTTTAAACGGTCACTTCCTGAAACAAGGCAAACGAGTTAGAGGTTAAAATAGTGTGTATATCGATTACTCACTGTTGAATTAGGCAATGGTCGGGAGTTAGAAATATCAGTGATTAGTTTTGTGTTATGCAACGTGGTCTTTTCTGATCATCTCCCTCCATCTGACCACCAGATACCAACGAATGCGAACACGAAACTGCCACAAAGTGCGGTGTAATTTTGGTGACGTCATCCCACCCAATGAACGTATTTTCGAAATAAATAAAAGTAAAACGTCATATTCGTTCAGTCTTCAATCTCAAATGAAGATATCCGAACGCTGCAAAGCTATACTGAATTCATACATGATTACGAGTCATCGTTATAATTAGGCAAATCTGTCCTCGACCAGTGGGACCAGTCCCGTTTGAAACGGATTGCGCGGCTCACAGTTTCGGTGAAAATAAAATAATACTTGAAAATTAGGTTTTTTGTGATAATAAATCGCATGCCCCTCCCCTCAGTCAGGATCTAATAAACTGAGTAGGCAACGCCGAATCGGAAAGACTCGATCCTTCCTAATAATTGCATCTCTTCACAAAACATTAAATATCGGTGGCTGCTTATGCAGAGCCTTGGTAAAAGCGAAACGCGCGAATGAGCGTCGTGAAAAATAGCTGTTCTTCAAGTATGTGGAATTCATAGATGGACAGACGATATAGGGCGTAAATGTCTGTATATTGTTTACTTTCTTACTCTGGAATGATAGTAAGACCCTAACTATTGCGACTAGTATAACTATCAAAAAAAAAGCGGAATCTGTTTGGCATCGATTACACTCTGTGTTAGGTGGTGAGTATGGGTGATGAACCTGAGATGACGCAGTCAATATTAGACATCTACACAATGCTACAGTAATATTCCCTCACTTCGAAACGTTTGGTTCATCGATTCATTATGGCATTAGTAGAAGAAATATTTCGCAGATAAATTTGCAGGGTTGTCCACGGGAAACGTCCCATGGGATGGGATGGGACAGCACACATTTGTATTTTCCATGGGAAATGAAAATCGTTTGATTTGCGGGAAATGATGGTGAAACATTTTGTTATAGATTTCGTGTCCATATATTTGAGCATAACTCTCTTGTTAGTTATAAAGAGCAAAATATGTTCACCATTAACAATATACTTCGTGAAGGGGCTGATGGACACATGTATAATAGTTATAAAGTTGGCAAATTCCGTAAATTTTGTTGTTTTGCATGTCTCACCATACATGTAGTCCTATTTAGAAGGCGCTAAACATAAATTTAACAATTTTTATTGAATTTCATTCCAATGGGAATCCCATGGGATGGGACAGGCATAATTGCTATGGGATGGGATTGGTATGGGACAGAAAAATATGTCCTATTGACAAGCCTGTAAATTTGACTTCTGTAATCAACTGAGTTAACTGACAGAAAAAAGACTGAAAACTTCTTCTATAAAGATATACAGAGATGAACGAATTAGTACGGAGATCAGATTCGATAACAACAGACAAAAGCGAGTTCGATTTTTGGTTATTTTTTGTATTGTTATTTCTATTTGCAAAGGTTAGAATGCGAAAAATCTGATGCCATGGTTATTCTAGTTCAAATAGGCAAACGCTCACTTCCTCAAGTCAAATAAGTTGAACAGGTAAAAATAGTTTTAACGGCGATTACTCACTGTTGAATCAAACAATGTGGTCTTTTCCTGAGTGCCCCTTTTTATACCCCCAATATAGTTTTAAAATATTCATGATAAGATCGGGAAATTAACACGTCATTTACCGTTGCGGTGTGATTTTGATGACTTCATTGCACCCAGTAAACGACTTCCATATTGGCCAAAGGAATTTTCGAAATAAATGAGCGAAAAATACAATCTTTCACCACTGATGATTTCAAAGCAATTGTTTCTATAATTAAAAAAAATAGCAAAAACAACAACAACGATATACTAGAGCAGGGGTGTCAAACTCGTAGGTTTTCAAGGGCCGCATTGCATTTTGGGAATTGTGCAAAGGGCCGCAAACAGTTTTTCATATATTCTGATAATGTATACGGAGCTTATTTTTAGATATGTGTAGTTTGTGATATATATTGTGATGCAATTAAACAGCCGAATATTCGTTATTTGTTTACTATATTTATTACAAAAAATCATGAATGTTTATGTACAATCATTCAAATCATTGTTAAACAAATCTCTTTTTGGCATCTCTTTTGTGCCACCAGCTTACTAATATCAGGCTGAAATGATTTTTTAGCGCCAACTCTAATTAACGAGGTCACATGATCATCGGTTAATTTGGATCGTTGGGAATTTTCGATTAATTTCAGTAATGCAAAATTATTACGTTTATCATTTCATGTATAGATCAGTTAACAAAAAAATGACTGACTTTTCGAACCAGACATTTCCCGCCACATTTCGCGAGTTATGATTGTTATTGATTTTTAGTAACTATAGGTAGTTGTTTAATTATAATTAATATACAAACACATAAAAATTTCTGTTCGAAGTTGATCTTTAAATTTGTCATATTGACTGCTGAGCCTATTCTGATAATGTCTACTCATATATATTGTATTCTTTCATTGTACTGATGGAAATGTGACAAATTAAACAATGTGCTTTAGAATTTTGAGAAAGGCAGAAATATTGCAACTCCCATTTTCTTTGAAAATGCCACCTTCTTCATGTACTTTGCGTTTCATTTAATTCATGAAGTGTTTTTTCTAATACTCTTCTCCTAGCTTGAGGTGTATCCATAATAGAGTCAAATTGAAAACAAAATTTTTTTTTTATATTCAAAACTATTTTCAGTAAATTGTCGCTTTCTGAGTGGATAATCAATTTCACTTTAAATGGTTTGAAAATTGTATTACATTCAGATAGAGAACAAAACTTACAAAATATTACAAGTATTGTTGAGTGTTCGAGGGCCGCATTGGAAGTTCTCTGGGGCTGCATGCGACAAGCGAGTTTGACACCTCTGTGCTAGAGAACGATTTATTTGTGAATATGTGTGATCTCGTTCAAAAATGACAACATATGACCTCGAAACGAAATTGTATTCTGTGCATAATATATTTAAAACAGAAGTATTTTAAGGGTCATCAGACGCATTTTAAATCGATCGTACGTAATTCAATCTGTCCAGACCAGAGCCCGCCTGATGCTGCCGCAATCAAACTAAAATTTGATGTTTTAGCTAAAAATAAGATCAAGGAGTTCGTTGAGTTTGCAAACAAATTTAGTTTTGGCACGAGACTAATTGTTTCCCACTTTTGCTTTTGTAACACTGTAATTACGTAATTCTACTTACATGGCCTCTAGTCTGTCGAAACGAACAAAGTGTCTGGACGACTGCAAAAATTTCAATATTATGTCACCGTTTACTTTTTTCTGATTGGTCATTGTTACAAAAAATAAATAAATAAAGAAATCGATGCTCGTGGAAAATCCATTATTATTATGGCACTCTGACACGTGGTTGCACTATAGAGCAAAGTAACAGGGAGTTGGAGAGCGGTTTCACACCACAAAACTAACAAAATCTAGGTAGCCTAACTACAAATGGCGTTGCAAGTATTCTTGCATTATGCCTATTTTACAGTTAAAACACGCAACAGCACGGCCGCGGTGGTTGCATCGGATGTAAGTTCGTGCTTTAATAAGGACAGAATAGAATATGGGGAACATTTTTGTTTTTGTATGTAACTATTGTAGGCTATACGGTACCGATTTAATATTCTGATGATGACTTGAAAATTTTAGAATCCTAACCAGCGGTAGTAGATTATGTATTTGAATGAATTGGATACCACTGATGCTAAATTTATGGAATACGGTACCGGTAGGCTATATAATGGTGATGGGAATTATATTGGATGGTGACAATTAATGTAATGTGATGAATATTGTTTTAACACATTAAAAATAAAAAAAATATGTAGTACCGTACCGTTTAAAATGATTAAAGAATGTGTAATTGCTATTTGAAACATGCATTTATCGCTCCGCGGTGTGGCGCATTGTGTCAAGCTTTAAGAATAGGCTCCACCATCAAGTCCATGCATATGAAAACAAATAACTGGCTAACTAGTAGTAAATATGTAAATCCTAACTTTAAATATGCAGGTTCTATTTCTATACAGTTACGGTACCGGTACCGTACTAAGCCTAGATACCAAGATTTCATTGAGAAAAAATTCTCGATGTCTAGATATTTAAGTTGAGCCTATGCTATAACAATAAAAATTGAGGTGACCTCTAGACCAGTGGTTCCAAAACTTTTTAGAGTTGGGACCCACTATTTATTACCACAGCTTATGGCGGCCCATTTAACTTTAATAAAACATTGATGGAGGAAACAAAAATAAGACCTGGCCTGAAAATAAGACCCAATTTGAATTTTAAAAAGGATTTGAATAAAACTCTACCCTTGAAATAAATTTAAAATGTGTAGGAGAGGAAAGGTTCAATGACCTGAGGTAAGGTGAAGATTTCAACGTTGTGTAATGTCACAATCACAATTATGATATTTGTCACTTGATTTTTGTATAGGAAATACAAATAAAACCAATGGATGTTGGTTTTTATATAATGTTTATTAAAAAATCTCGTGATTTTCTACAGTGTAAATTTATTTTCATAAATGAACACAAAAGACCTCTTCCAAAAAAAAAATAGCGTTATCCTTCTAATGAAAATGAATCTAAATCCTGTCTAAATTTCGGGAAAACACGGTAAAAAGTGCTGTACAGTGTACAAAACTGCTATGCGCAAAAAAGCCACATGGTCATTCTTTGTGTAGCAAATTTTTGTTCCTTTGAGAAGATCATAAAAAGAAAACTTTTACAGATTAGAATTTAAATTCAAATTAATTTCTTTTATTTTTTTGAAGATTTAATTTACGTATTCAAGTCGCCACCGATCCTAATAACCAGTATAATTAACCAAAGCTTTCTACATCTTTTCACGACCCACCAAGATTCCTTTTGCGACCCACCGGTGGGTCGCGACCCATAGTTTGGGAACCGCTGCTTTAGATTATCTAATTGAAAAAATTTATGTTTCGAATAATTTAGCCTTGATATCTTTTAGTATTACCTTTTAAAATACGGCCAGGTTGTCTCCAGATGACACGTTTTCGAAGCAAAGGAATCGCCGCCAATCTGCCAATAGACTTTCCTGACTGTTATCAACTAAAAATATTTTATTTTTTGTCATATTCCAGAAAAAAATTGCTACAGTCTGACAGTATCTTATAATCTATCAAATCTTTACCTTGAAATTGAAGAGCGGGCTTATAGCAATATTTAGCGTTTTCAACATTTTAATGCTGTAGCCATGTCTTCACCTGGGACCTAGAATAACTGAATATTAAATAATTTCAATTCATCAAGTGGGCCCAGTCTAGTCTCTTGTGTCTCTGATAATAATTGGACGCAAAGTAATAAATAGGCCATGATATTGTAAGTTAGTGACATTCTAATAAAACTAACATTATCTTATTATTGTATGACATTAGACTCCTTTGTTCAAATCTCATAAACCTTCTCAGAAGATTTTCTAATCCACTTTCTCACCTTTTCAGTAATGCCCAATCAGGCAATCAGTTTCGTTTTTTATGGCTTTTCCAGAATACCTTTTAATTAGTGGATATCATGGAGTTTTCAAGATAAACTATTTATCTGAATTAGGTTTTGTGTAGTTTATCACACAATTTATTACTGTATTTCAAAAGTTATAACAGCTATCTTCAGTTATTATCAGTGTGATTACCTACATATTTAAATCAGTAAGTGGCAATGAAAAGAACTTCAGGGGGTGATCATGCGTCATCTTCCAGCGCATCGAGTTCAAGGCCACTGCCTTCGGTATTGGGGACATTTCGAGACATGAATGAAAATTTTGTTTGCCCTATATGCTTCAATTTAATCGATGAGGCTTATATGACACAATGTGGACATACATTCTGCTACTCCTGTCTGAAGAGCAGCCTTGAACAGGGTAACAAATGTACCAAATGCAATACATTAATCAAAAAAAAGGATGACATCTATCCCAATTTTATGTTGAACGATTTGATAAAAAAGCAAAAGAAAAAAATTGAAGATATAGCTGAGACATCTAAAAAATTAAAGATGGATTCCAGACTCTGGGAATGGCAGACTTTTCTTGCTACTGAAGAGGATGGTCTTCAACTGTCAGATGTTGAACATATGCTTAAAGCTTTGCAAGAAAAAAAGCGAAAAATGCTTCTTGATAGTGCAGTCGTACATAATAAAATCTTATTAGAATTTTTACAAGATTTGGGAAAACGTAAAAAGGCTGATCTCGACCGCTTGAAATCTGAATTGTCAGTTGTGGAACAAGATATAGATCAAGTTCAGGATGCTCTCGAGGAAAGCAGACAAGCTTCTGCAAGCTTACTGCAAGAATCTGTTGTACCTGATAATGGTGAGAAGGTGGAATCATCTCAAGTGGATAAAAAAGAACAATTGGTACCTAAACCTTCAGCTTCATCAACAAGTGAAGGTCCACCTTCAACAAAAGAAACCTTCAACACTCTTTCACAGTCTAGCAAGGTTCATCAGAGCTGGTTCCTAAAGACTTTGTCAAAAAGAAGAAGAAAACTTGCTCTTCATTTTGATGATTTAAATCAGTGTTATTTCAATACGCGGTTAGGGGAGCTTGCACCTAATGAAGAACGCAATATTGAACTTCTTGGTGAGTTCAGCAACAATTTAAAACAGTTTACTCAATTTTCTTCGATACGTCCAGTAGCAACTTTAAGTTATGCCAGTGATGTTTTAAATCCCTCCAATATTGTTTCAAGTATTGATTTTGATAAAGATTGTGATCATTTTGCAGTAGCTGGTGTCACAAAAAAAATTAAAGTGTATGACTATGAGTCTGTTGTTAATAATGTGGTAGATGGAATTAATTATCCAGTTGTACAAATGGCATGTAATTCTAAAATTTCATGTTTGAGTTGGAGTAAATATCATAAAACCTGGTTGGCAAGCAGTGACTATGATGGTTCAGTGACACTTTGGGATGCTTTCACTGGTCAGAGGATTCGCATGTTTCAAGAACATGAAAAACGATGCTGGAGTGTCGATTTCAACACAGTTGATCTTAGGCTTCTTGCATCTGGATCTGATGATGCTCATGTTAAACTATGGTCTACCAATACCTCACAATCTGTTGGTTGCATCGAAGCGAAAGCTAATGTCTGTTGTGTAAAATTTAACCCAGAATCGAGTTTTCATTTAGTATTTGGATGTGCCGATCATTTTGTACATTACTATGATATACGAAAACCAAATCAATCATTGGGAGTATTCAAAGGCCATAAGAAGGCTGTTTCATATGCTAAGTTTGTCTCAAGAAATGACATTGTATCTGCTTCTACAGATAGTGAACTAAAACTGTGGAATGTTAACAGTCCAAATTGTATTCGGTCCTTCAGGGGTCACACAAATGAAAAGAATTTTGTTGGGCTTGCAACGGATGGTACATATATAGCTTGCGGGAGTGAAAATAATTCACTTTATGTATATTATAAGGGTTTATCAAACCCTCTTCTTACCTATAAATTTGATGTTGTAAAAAGTGTGCTTGATAGAGACAATAAGGATGAAGATGGGAATGAATTTGTAAGTGCTGTGGTTTGGAGAGAAAACAGTAATATATTAACAGCGGCAAATAGTCAAGGGACAATAAAAATTTTAGAGTTGGTGTAAGATGCCAAAATTTTATTTTTGTTACTAGCGGAATAAAATTCTCTATGATATTTTGTATCTAAATCATCATTTCGTTACACAATATGTTGCAGTATTAATAAACAAATTGTTGTTTACTGATATATTTGGAAACAAAGTTTCATTTTTTCATGGAATAAAAGCCTCTGCCATTTTAATAAAGATGATGTGATTTGTCATATGTTCATGCCATCCTAGTTTTTCTGTTTGTAGAAATATTGAATACTAGTTGTGGGTTACTCTTGCAGCTTAATCAAACATGGCCATAATAAATTATAATAATTGTTGTACTGATTCAGTAAGAAATCTTAAAGCATATGTTGCATGATATTTGATTAAAACGCTTTTTCCATTATTTTACATTGATTATTTTTTTAATGCAAATGTATTGACTTGTTTGTAAATTTGTCTTTTTGTTTCATATAATTTAACTCCTTTACTGAAATCAAATAAATTCAAGAATCTAGTCAGGCATATACTTGATAAGAAAAGCACATATTTATCGCTTCACGTTTTTCCAATCAATTTCAAATTTTCAGCACTTATATAAGCCGGTCAAATCTCAATACTCGTAATGTTTGTTCACCTCAAATTTTGCTACTTCATTTTAATTCATAGAACAGTTAATTTTCATTCATAGAACAGCTTTTTGTTACATATGGAAAGACTTTCATATGTCTATGATGTCCATATATTTCAGCATGCTCTTTTGTTAACCTAGATAATTATTTTTTCTCCCAAGGATTTGCTTCAAACTAGATCACATAAACTCACCCAAAAGTAAAGGAAAACCCCAGGAGAAAGTCGCAAAGATTCAGACATCTAGCCCTACATTAATAATAAATCTTCAAATGTAGCACTTTTTATATATGAACGTCATATGTTTTGTTTTTCCACTCTTGTTCCTTTGTTTATAAATACATGAATTATTTTGTGAACTACGTTGTTAATGTAAAATATTCGACTATACATTGGTCGGCGAAGCGCTTTTAATATCATAAATTGTCGCAGGAAAAACCAATAAAAATTTCAAATTCTCGTTAATAAAAGATCTGATTAATATTAACTAATAATTATTTCGATCGGAACAGAAAAGAATTAGGAAAAAGACCAATTGCTTGTGACTCGAGTTGGAAGAAGACCTATAAAATTCTTGGTTACAAAAAGCTATAAAGTACAAGAAAAGCACCTAAGCCCAGACCACAAAATGCCAACGAGAATTATTAAGTCTGGCTGCAAGCATCTATAAATAGCAATACAATTAAATGCAGCATCTTGAGCATTTTTCGATGAGAACAAGTTTTTACATGATCCTAGTAAAACACAGTTTTGCTTCGCGGGTTATAAATTTCTGAGGTGTTTACCTCAGTTTTGCTTTTCAAATATCTATTTTTCATGGCAGTAGAGATTGATATAACGTGCGGTAAAAATAGCGTTTGCAAACTGCTACTACTGACATCCAAACGGCATTCGAAATTTTGGAGAAGTGCTTCTCAACCGTTTTTGCCTGCGGACGATCCCTTTTGGTTTGCCAATGTATTCACGGATCCCTACATTGCGACAACCGTAATACATTGTTGTTTTGAACTACAAGTTTCCAATCCAATTTTTGTCCCTATAGAACAAGTTCTTGTCTTTCGAAGAAAAATAAGTCGTTTTCCACTCGCTTTGAATGTTTCTGCGGCAATTGGCGTTCAAGCTTTGATGTTTTCGTCGCTAAGTATAGTGCAGCAGTGGGCAACCTTTTTCGAGATTTTACATTGGATTTATATTTTGTAACTTTCAAGGAAATACACAAACTACTGGTTTCATCTTTCGAGCTACACTCTTGTTACGAGACTTAATAACAAGCATATGTAGATAAAAACATAGAGAGTAATGCAGTTGCAGAGTTTTAAGGACACGAAAATTTTTCGGGAATGGCATCTCAATCACGCAATAGTTTGTTTTCTGCACTTCTCTCTTGTATTCCCTTCCCTAATCGTTTATATTTATTTTGAAATCAATTTACAACAGTGAGTTAGCTAGTAACTCTAACCAACATGAGCTGTACAACTTCATAAATTAGGCAGAAATGAAGAAAAGGATGGCACAGACGAACTATATTGCGTAAGAATGCAGCCAAATTAATGCTGCGCTCTTCCCGACAAAATTTCTCGAGAGCTCACTCATTTGTTACGATAATATATTATTTTGTAGCCATATGTCATGAACGGTAAAAAAAGAGTTTAAATAAATAACGGATTGTTAACATACGATAATGAATAAATGAACAACTATAGTTTCATCAGATAATTCAGAGAATCTCGAAACTTTTTATCTGAAAGAGAATGATCTCGTTTCCGAGGCCTCGCTCGCGTGCCGAATAAATGTGCCCACCCCTGGTATAGTGTATAGCGGCATAGCCTATATAACGTAAAACACATTGTGGCTTGATGTCGTCATCGGTGGCCACCGAAGTAAACCCCAACCTAGATAACCTTAGGAGTACTTTCCTGATTTAGCCATACTACCATTTAAATATACCGGAACAAAAATACTCCCTCTGCGAAGAGTTGTTCTCAGCTAGCTAACGATGCCTTTGCCGGTAACCACATCCTCCTAGTTTGCAATGTAAAGTTCAAATACCAAAAAAATAAAAAGTTTCGTACACCCCGTGAAAATGCTTTGCAAACCCCCGGTTGAGAACGGATGTTTTAGGTTTCGCGCTGTGAATTCTTATTATAAAACAACATTCATCACAGACCAAGTACATGACCAGTGAATTTCCATTTCGACTTTGTCAATCATAAAAATTTGATGAACGACAATTTGTCCGGTTAAAAATCACTAGTATAACATTATCAACTGCCGGTGAACTTTTATATTATGTAAAATCGTAATTTATCCTCATTTCCGTCGGCTATACCGCTGATCCAACTGCGGTGATTGAAATAGTATTGCGACATAGATTTAAGATGAATCTGATGAGCACAACGGACTTTTGAACAGAATTCGATCGTTGTATATATATATATAGGCTACACGTGTCAAATTTTCGGAATCCTTTCGTCAAAGATCTTTTTCGGTAGTCGAAAAAATATCGCACTAATTCATGGTCATGGCTACCAGACTGCGCTCCTGGTCTAACCACCCCAGACGTTCAAATATAACGTCTGTGGACCGAAATGAAGGTTAATCTCTCTACCTTGCCCAGTTTGTCACGTGAATGCATACTTTCTCGTTTTTGTGGTGAGTACTGTATTCACGATTGACGCGATGCTCCTACGAGAGTACTGCGTAATGCTCCGAGCCTCGTACCATTATACTGACACATAACCTACCGTCATACAGACACAGTTATTCTTAGTTTCAGCAGCTTTCGGGAAAAGCCGTCAATAATGCAAACAAACAAATTCTACTGGGAACGCCAACTGCCTCATGTCCGCTAATGTCAAAACTACTTGCTGCTTTTGGCGGTTCTTGGATGAAATATCTTGCAATGAGTCTATACGTCTCGCCTCCTCTTTATTCGGTTCTTATTTATATAGATGTCATAAATATCACAAAACGCTTGTTATTTATTGAAATATATTTCTTGACAATCCCAATCACGATTGGTTAGGTGTTTTTCACGAATGACAAAAAATTAAATGAGACAAACGAATGCAATGAGAAGTAAATCTGTACATCATATATACATATATATACAAATATTAACAGTACTTTTAAAACAACTGAATAATACCAGACAATGTTTTCATAGAGCATTGTAATAACTCTTTATAGTATAATGTAAACAATTTTTCGTCTTTTCTTTCCAGTTGTGTATAATTTTCAATTCTGTAACGTAAAAATTTTACAGTTCAGTTACAGTTTCTTTTCCAGCTGTTTTACTGGTGTGTGTCTGTATGCTATTGCTCTAAAGTTAGTGTACATACGTACACCGGAGACTGTTTGCATTTTCTTTTTAATCAGACTTTCATCAGCCTGTATCAAATTTTAATCGAAATAAAAAAATATCTAGAGGTAGAAGTCAATATTAGAAATAAGTATTACGAGTCATTGCCAGTTTCTGTTGTATGGTTTTCGCTGTATGTTCCAGACTTTCCTTTATGCGATTTTCCTTTCTTGACTGAAAGAGCAGAAGATGATACAGAGAAGCTGAAACTGAGTGAAGACGACATCGATTTTCTGGAAACCCGTCGTTTCGCAGTCGTTCTAGCTTCGCCATTCGTTACAATATATATTGCAAATAAAAACACGCCTTGCAGTCCATTGGCCACGCCGTGTATTGCAGCAAATGCGACCTCTGCCCCAGGTATATTGACAAAGAAAGCGAGAATCCACGGAATTCCTAACACTGGTAGAAGAAGAGCAACTGCGCGGAGAGTTGCTTGAAGAGGTTCTCGTTTGGCAGCTGCATCAGAAGGTCTCATGTCACGTGAATGTACATTCATGAACCAAATTACCCGTGACACACGAACTATGAAATACACACTGACTATCAAGGCCAGGGAGAGAGGTACAATTGAAGAGAGAACCATCAGGGTTTCTGTGCCGAGCCAGCACCGATCATACTTGTTCACTTTTTCAATTTGATTTTGTCTCTCGACCGTAGCTTGGTATCCTTTTGATGTATCTATATAAATCTCAAGTCCTAATCCAATACCTAAACAAATTAGTACGTATAGGAGAGGGATAATCCAACCCGTCAACAAAAGCCATCGTCGTAGCTTAGTGATGTCAAAATTGAGAGCAGATCCGCATGTTTTCTTATACAACACCCATCCTTCGTTAATCATCCACATTGCCGAAGATATTAAGAAAAAATGGGAGAGTAGTGTCATCGTTACACATAATCCTTCAATGCGATGAACCTGCCCTGCAATGAGCATAGATACGTGGAGAAGAATCAATGAAAGTGTAAGATTTATTTGCGTTAGCACTCGATCTTTTCTTAGATTCCGTCGCAACCAAATCAATACACATAGTGTTGTACAAAGAAACACGATACCAATGATTTCTATAAACAGAAGAAAGATTTTCAACCAAGCTGGCAATTCAAAACTCCGAATGGAAACCATCACCGCAAATATTGTTGTGTGGTTACTTTCACAACGCACCCCTCCGTCGTTGGAATATATTGTTGTACATCCATAATCTGACCAAGCTTTTTCTGCATTGCTATAAAACACACATTTACGATTCGCACTGATCACCTGTCTTCCCTGATTTTGAAACAAAACTTCAGAAGTGTCGTTTCTTATGTCAAACACCATAGAAGTTGACACACTAAGGGGCGATACAGAATCTCCGTCTTTCGTTTTGTTGCTCACAAAAAGGGTAACAGACATAACAGAAGTAGATTCTTCAATAAAATCTGCGGTGTTGTAGTAAGAATTTTTTTTACCCTTTTCTTTGACGTATTTATAATCATAAACACCGCTAGACTTCAGCAAATTCTTTTTTAGTATGGCGCTCACCAGGACGGCGCTGCGATCTTCTTGGTAGAAATCGCTTCCATCCACCGTTACTGAATCGCAAGTTTTGCAACTTTCCTCTGATGTAAAACTGACGTGTAAATCTGATGATCTCTGCATCTGACGTACAGGAGTTATTGTCATGTCTATTCCTGGTGTTTTAGCGCTGATTGGGCTATTGATATTGCTTTTCATTATCAATTTAGCAAACGGGAGGGCAACAGTTTCTTCGAAAATTTCAATAGGATTTGAATTCAATATGAATCGAGTGGATGACCCAGGGCATCTTTTGCTGAAAAGATCTCTGGACATTTCATCAGTCTGTAAGCTCAGGATGAGGCACTCCAACATGTCTTCCACTGATCCTTCAGATTTTTCAACATGACTGTCACCTCCTGCTTGTTCAGTATTTCCTACATTAGGAGTAGAAAATTGTATCGCGTTATCAGGTTGTTTAGTTTCTGTAAAATGAAAAATATGGTTACTGGGCGGTTGATCTTGGGTATGCAACGAGGCGTTGGGCTTTTGCTCGCATTTTCCTGGTATTTTGATGTCACAATTTGTATTTCGTGGTGTTTCCAACGTTACGTTTTGTGACCCTCACTTGGTGGAGGTCCTAAATGAGCCAGGGGAAATAGATAAATAACTCTTTACGTAATTTATTCTTATTATAGTAAATGTCTGCCATCATTTCGACGGAATTTTATACTTTAAAAGTTTACGCCCTGTTAGTTGGTGACATGACGCTAAAATAATAAAAATCATTTTTTTTTCGAAAATAGAATATTCATGATTCAATTACATGAGGCTATTCAATATTTGTCACTGAAGCAAGTAACTAAATGTATTTTCAATGAATTTTAAAAATATAAAATAGGGTGAGAAGTGCGCAGAAAAGTAAAAAAACACTATCAAAATACATTGTTTAAAATCGACATTTTATATCGATATTAAAAAATGAATGGCACCTTTATTGTTCGTTTCACTAAAAGAGGTCGTTTGCCGGGTACTGGCGGTAGTAGACGATGATTCAAAATTATTTCCGCTTTCCACTGAATTTTTTGAATTTTGTACAGAACTTCCGGGTGTAGCATCTGTTTTTTTATCGATGGAAGTTTTCGAGTTATCAAAATTTATAATCCTTCTACTACCGACTCCAGTTACTAAATATAAAAAAAGAAATATGTTAAAATATTTGAGAATTCCGTATGTTGTATATTTTATCAAAAAAAAAATGACATTTTATATCGATAATAAAAAATGAATGGCACCTTCATTGTTAGTTTCACCAAAAGAGGTCGTTTGCCGGGTACTGGCAGTAGTAGACCATGATTCAAAACTATTTCCGCTTTCCACTGAATTTTTTGAATTCTTTACAGAACTTCCGGGTGTAGCATCTGTTCTTTTATCGATGGAAGTTTTCGAGTTATCAAAATTTAAAATCCTTCTATAACTGACTTCAAATACTAAATATAAAAAAAAAACATGTTAAAATATTTGAGAATTTCATATGTTGTATATTTTATCAAAAAGAAAAAAAAATTTGTCCATCAAACCTTTTTCATCATCAATTTTTGAGAAAGAAGTAGTTGGGCTTATATGGTCAGGAGACGATCTTCCAGAGACCGGCATGTCATGTGTAGAGGCAACGTTTGGTCTGCTGTACAATTTTCTATCTTCTGCGTCTCTTGGTTTTTGATCGATTATTACGCTTGTTGTTTCTAAATTTCTTCTGTTATCGGCGCCCATTTGAAATGCTGAACATAATCATGTTACAGTGATACAAAAATTTTCTATTTTTTCATATTTTTCTATTTATTCGATTGCATTTGATGTGTTCTGTTTGTTCTCGATATAATGGATTCCTATCGCCGCACCTCTCAGTAGATTAATATGATACCAGAGGAACAATACCACTGGTATTCAGAAGATATTTCAGTTTTTTATTAGTTGGCTCACTTCAAAAAATGAACTTTACACCAATAGATCCCATTGGAACTAGAAAACGTTAAATATTAGAACGATACAAACAGCACAATTTGTTGAATACTGAGTACTAAGTTAGATATTTTGTCATGGTAAATTTCAATATATACAGATAATATTTTATTACCTGATTTCATTGTTTGTTGAGAAGTTGTCGGTGAAACATAAAGAGGGATGCTGGATTCTTTAGTATGATTAAAATATCTAACGCTGACTGATGTCTCATATGATCTGGACATAGTTCCAGAACTTTGAAAATAACGTGATTGAGTTTGTGGTTCAGTTGTTGAAAAAATATCATATCCTGCTTTATTGTCATTTTTGCTATGTTCTGTGACGAGAAAATAAAACTTTTTCTTATAAAAATTACTAAATATATATATTGATATATAATATTAAGTTAATGAGCTCTGCGAGAATTAATATCGACAATTCCATACATATAATATAAATTTTAGTTCCTTTTGACTGCGAAGTTTAGGTCGATGCGAGAGATCGGGGGATCATAATCTTATGTGCTTCAGTTTACGTTTCCTAGAAATATATATATATATATAAAACACCATCTTCTTATGAAGAAAACATTGAACACACCTGTAATTTCACATATAAATGCATGTGCTCTATCGCCGATTACGTCAAACCAACGTCCATACGAAATTCCTTCACAACGTTGTATTGCGGTGTAATCTTGATCGGGAATGTTTTTTCCACCTCTCACACAGTTCCCGTTTGGTTGCTGTTTACAAAATCCGGTCTGTTTGAACCAATTTGTAAATCCGGTTTTCAGCAAAGGTTTCCCATTTTCCCATATCCACTTACCATCGTCTTCTCTGTCGCTTAGGCCAATATATACGAGGTCGCGCGAACCACCGCCAAGTCTGAATAAAATTTGTATTTGATTATATAGCGGCTACAGCAGATAACGATCAGCCATTTTAATCGAAATTTCAGCTTTTCAAGTGAAGTGATTCAGAAGAAGGTGTTGTCTCAAACAATGCAAATGAAATATATCAGTATTTCTTAATTTATAACTGTGTTTTTACAAAAAACAACAATCGTTTCGCATATTGCAGCATATAACCGCTTTATATTTAAAACCATTTGCCAGTCAAACCATCCAAAATGGATTCATTTCAGTAGTTCATCATGAGCATTCATCATATCAAAACAGACATTGAAACAAGAAGACAAACTTGAAAGAAAATAAGACGACTTCTCATCTCAGATTAAGTTCAATAATATGTTTCATTATAACTTTTGATCTAAAAACCTTACTTATCACAATTTGGTTTTGATCCCATTGCTTTTTCCACATCTCTCTGATCGTCGTCAGAATTTATACTTGCCAGATTCCCTCCAATTCTTTTACATATTTCTCGCGCCTTCTTGGATGTCTTTCTCATCTGACCGCAAAATACATACTTCGAACCTGGAGAAATAAAATCATATATAAATCAGTCGATATTCTCACAACTCTCAGTATGAAGTATAGTCTTAAATTGGGCATTTTCCATTTGTGACTCCCATTCCATGTAACTTCGAGCCTGACTCTATCAATGACGATACCGTTCAAAATCCGATGAAAAAAAAAAAATAAATCCCTTCAAATGGTTGGTTGTAACGATTGAAACTAGCCGATGCTCATCTAATTCAACTGCACTAATGACTAAAATACGACTGTACAACTAATGTGATGCCAAGGAATGGGGAGACTGCGTTACGTATTCTAACATATTGAAGTATACATTATTTTGAAACATTAAATTGCTCACCGGGTGTTGGTACACAGGTTTCGTTCTTGTTGCCCTCAGTTACAACAGCAAACACCACAAGTATAAATGGAAAAGCTAAGTACAAAGTTATTAATCTCATATTTCAGTATTCACGATAATGTAATATCATCTGAAAATAAAATCGTTTAAAAAATAAAAATAACGAAACACAAAAATTCGATGCGAGTTTCTCTTGTAGATATTCGTCAAAATACATTTTATTATTTGTAATATGTAGCATGGAGTTGTTGTCCAGGTTCTTTCTGTCATATTGGTTTAGATTTAAAATTGAGTTTTGATACAAGTGACTAATGTATACGTGGCATATATCTTATTTATCTTTACAATGTAAAGCAATGTTTATTAACGACATGTAACTATACCATCGATATATTATAACCGTGGTATAACTTTAACTAAACACTACTTTTTGAAAAGCAAACTATTTAAACACTATCTACTAATATCTCCTGAACATAATGGTGTATGGTAAAATAAACATTACTATTTTTAGTCTGTCACTCATAGTTCACATCCGCACATTGAGTGCAGTTTTCGATTGTTTCTGAAATGTTTCCAAAAGAACTTTTTGAATGGAAAATATTTCATAAAAACAAATGAACCCAATGTGTTTCTTCATCGAATCTTTATATATCGCCATTTACGAGCTTATAGTGCGTCGTTGAAATTGCGTGTAAAGCTTGACGCAGTTTGAAATATGTCGGACGTCAGGCACGCTTTTGGCGCAAACCAATTACCGCCCAATTACACGTATTTGCCAACTATAAAGTCATCAATTTTATTATTAAATATTGGCTCACTAAATGCATTTTGCTGTACTAATGATACATAGTTTCTATTTCCTATAGTGAAATTAAACTCGATGGTTTCTTATTTATTAATATAGCCATAATTATTTATAAGCCAGAATTTGCAATATGCATTTTTTTCACTATTTTCGGAAATCAATAATAAATTGTTCATTAGTATAGACTTTACATTTCCATATATATTCGCCAAGTTCAACTTTTGACCGAATGAACTTCCAATTTCTTTGTAATTGATGAGTTTCATTCAAAGGGAAATACTGGAGGTTTTGGAAAAAATTCCGAACTACAGAGTGTCGTGATCAATACCATATATATTTATTATATAGATTATTATCTTAGAAAATTTCTTAGTGCTTCAATTGTTTTTAAATATCCAAGCCGTCTAAATATTTGTAATAATACTTTAACGTTTCTCCAGTTTATTTTAGTATTTCTTTTCTTATATAATTTATGAAAATTGTCATTTGCGTATTGATTATACAATTTCCATAATCCAAAAATAATTTAAAATAAGCACATATTAAACTAGCCTTTTGAAAAAATGCTAGTTTTGTCACTGGTTCGAATAACTTAAAATCCATATACGGAAATCGAATAATTTCATGAAATTTTTAATAGTGTCGATCAACTTCTTAATAAAATACGAATTGTGAATGCTATGTAGTCACGACTGCGTTATTTCCAGACGTTTTTTCATTCCTAACCTATTTCTGTCCTTAAGATAAAAACTTCATGGGATCGTCGTGATTCCTCGTTTACATAGAAGGTTGTGAGATAACTTTATTAACTCTTGATAATTTAATATATTCCATAAAAATCAATGACTTTTATACAATTTAACGTGATTTCCCTACTGGGAAAAATGCTAAACGAACTAAGATTCTGCCAGCACATATAAAATAAAATATTGTTAATATTGACTCGAAATAATATAGTCCATAAACTGTTACAAAAAGGATTTCACGGAATAAACAAAAAAATAATCTAACCTATGGAGGCCAAGGGTGTTGTATCTTGGTATAAACATTACATGCCTAAGACAATCTGTTTTAGCAGGAAAATCCAATATATTTAGTAATTGTGCAACAAGATTGATTGGATTGATTTAAATTAATTACAATTTAAATGAATTGCCGAGCAATATTTGAAAAATTCTAAATATTCAAATATATGAACAAACAACCTAATAAATCACCAACAAATCTATCAGTGCAAGAACATGAACATATCAATTTTCTACGATGAACTGCAAAATAAATGAAAAACTCGTGTCAAACTGATTGACTATGTTCGTGTGAAGATTAAAGTCATGCAATGATGAATTGTCGCAGAAAATGATCATATGAAATAAGTTCATAGACTTAAGATCACATTAGACGACTTCATTAGATTTCTTGGAAATAGTGAGAATCGAGATGATAATAATACTCATCCAGCGCTAAAGCAAAGGGAAATCAACGAAGAAAATCGCAGCCGTAATTGATAGGTGTTTAGATTAATGATTTTTTCTCATTTTCGATTTAAACTGGAAATAAAGCACCGAAACGTAATGAAACTTACTGCTATATAACCTTGTTGAATTTCTATTTTCAAATAAACTTCCGCCAGTACAAAAACATTAACATTTATATTTTGTTTAATATTTAATTAAAAGTAATATACCTGTTTTACAGCGAACTATATATACCCTCCCTCACATATGCTTTCGCGCAGGAATGAAAAATTAAAAAAAATAAATTTAATTTTAAAGATTAATGAGGCTGTGGTGATAATATATCATTGTAGAAACACCAAAGAATATTGATCTAAATTATTTAAATATCCCATAAAAATTTCGATGCTGAGATAAACAACCGTTGATACATTGGGTAATAAAAAAACGTTAACACTCAACTAAGATAATGATAGTGATTATGCGCCAAACAGTTCAACAACTGCTTTTAATATTTAGATTTAGCTATACACACCTCGATTCTCTATTAAAAACTAATTATATTCAGGGTAAATATCAAATTTAAGCTTAAAACGATTTTCATCGGTGTTTTCTTTTCGATTCGTGCCTTGATTTCAACTCAAAAAAGTTTATTACTAATCTCTGTAAAGTATCGCCGTTGGATAATACGAACACTCTCTTTCCGATAAATATTTTATGCGAGTAAGGGTCGGTTTTATCGTTTGGATGCTCATCATCGGTTCAGTTTCGAATGCTACGAAATAAATTTCATTTGCATTATAATGTTAGGCCTGAATTACATTTTTTATATACATTGAATTTGAAATTAATAAATGAGCTTGATTTACTATTTATCATTACAAAGTATGGCCGTATAGTCGAGCATGTTTATGGCACATACTCCTAACTGTCGTTCTTATCTGACTAGACAACAAACTGATTCTTAGTTGAATTTGCTCAATTGAAATTCCTCGATAATAACATTAATTTATCAAAAGTAATTTTTGTATTAATTGTATACAAAAACATAGAAACTTAGTGAAATTTATGTTTAGCGGTCCAGTCACTAAGCTTCAGTTTTACAAAAGTGCCATGTAAAGAAATGTAATATCGATCAGCAAAAAGGATATCGTCTGAATCGCAGTTATCTAACAACGACGATAACGGGGTTAGGGACATATTATCTACTGACTGAGTGATACTAGACTCTGTTTCCAAATATTTGAAACAGAATACTTTCATTTTACGTCTGAATAAAATGCAAATTTTTTTCATTTCTATAATTTTTGCAAAAATCTAAGCTGAGCTCGGATCTGTTGTATTTAATATATATACTTACAATGGCTGTAGTTTAGTATCGAGAACCGCATAGCTTCATACCCATACTTAGAAATTTAGCGTCATCGCAACGCAACGAACGCACAAACAATTTCCGAAATTCCGATTGATTATTCCATAATTGCGCTAGGCTCACATTGTAATGCAACAACAAACAATACGGCATACGTTACATCGACAGTTCTTAGATATCCTATTTCATTGCCTAACTCAGTCTAAGCGTAGTCTGCTAATAAATTTACAACAATATCGTGACGTGACGCAGTTTCAACGTTGCCAACGTTCAATGTAATTCATCACATATGTCAATATGCACACACATGCAGTTTGGTCATTTCTTCCTTTTTCCAATCATTTTTCCACTTAACGATAGAATTGAACGAAAGGCGTATTTGTTTTTAAGGACTAAATTTATGTTCACTTTTCCCCAATTTTATTTCAAGATATCTCGTACAGAGTTACGTTTGTTACTGTTTTCAAGTACTTTTATACCTAAAAAAATAATTAAGTCTACTATAAACGTAGTTCCTCAATCCCAATGCTGATTTATTCTAGGTTGTAGACCTCAAGTTCACTATCCATACGTAAGAACTTGTAAAACAGCTATGATTGGCCCAGTAATAGATTGAAAGGTCACCGGGATCACGAACAATATTTTTGACATGTATTACATTAACTCGTGCTTGGCATTTATTTCAGACGTTTGCAAAGATAAACGTATTGTTCTAACGTTTATGACATTTGGGCCGTATTACAAGTTCAAAACTTTTTATAAGACATTGATCTATGCCTGTTATTACTATCAATGTGATATCATCACCATTACATTACTAAAATTTATATGGCAATCAAATCACTTGAAATGCATGAGGAAATTTTAGGTGAATACCCATGACGACCAACCTCGTTATTGTGCCAATTGTTTTGAACACTCCGGAAATTTTGTTAAACGCTCACCAGATCAGGAATACTCGCAATAAATGTGAAATACATTTTATGTTTAATCTGCTTCCTTCTCACCCTAATACTATATATTAAAGTGAGTTTCTTTATTCTGATCCTGATATTTTTTATTCTTTTTATTAATCGGTTCTTTGATGTAATTTTTACCAAAATGGCCGTCTGTTTATTAGTAATTGGTATAAAATTCACCAACTTCCAGATAAACCTAAATATAGCGATCACATATAAATAACTAAAACGACGAAAAGTTATCTATATTCACAATACGCTATTCATAAAATGATATATAGCCAAGATTACTCAATTTTATATGCAAAGTTCACTAAGTAATAGTAACAGTAATAGTGGTAGTAACAATAATAATAAACCGCATTTATAAACAGAGATATTTGCGATTTCTGAGCTCAATATCCATTATACATTTACGATGAGATATAAGAAAACAAACATTAAATCACATAAATTGCTGTATAAAACTTACTAATAGCAAAACATTTCAAATTGTTTCCACAACAGCACAATAATTATTTAGTCCAACATTTCAGTACTTTGACAATATGGTCGTATATTACGTTATTGTGTGAATCCCCCCCTCCCTCTCATAAAAAAACTGATGGAAAGCGCAATTTCTTTACCGTAAGTTGGCCCTCGCTTCTGCCCATCGGTCCGATATTAGACTATTGAATAGTTGGTTTTATTTTTGTCTAAAGGGCTTGCTTATTGATTATTGTTTTACGCGTTTCCGGCTGAAAAAAGTCGCAGAAATTACAATGACAAATTAGCTTTAAGAATAGGTGAAAACCAATATTATAAAGAACTAAATCGAGAGAACCAAAACGAGAGAAAAACTGTAAATCGTTATTGTACTATTGTTGCTACGCAGGCCCAGTTATGGTTACGCAAACACAGCTTGCAAATGGACATCAGTATATTTTAATTACGTAAACAATAGTCTATAGTTGCGTAAAAGCCGTGGGTTTGATTGATTGCCGGACAGAATTGATTTTTCAAGAAGTTTTATTCTGATGTGACCATGCAGAGAACCATTATTTCGAAAATAATACATCTACGGCCGGTCGCAAATGACGTAGAATTCTTATTTACGGGTCGGAATATTATAATCGTTTGATGTGACTATGTTAACGATTAAAATAAATTATCACAAATCTGGAATATTCTCTAATATTTGCGTAATTAAATCAATTGCCGTTTTTACGTAAACAGCATTCCTTCAGTGTCAGTCATATTAATATAAATAAATATTTATTATTCGCCAATATTGGTAATCAGAGGATGAACAGAGAAGGTTATACAAATTGAAATGTTTATTAGAGTAGACTAGTGGTTCCCAAACTTTTTGTTCGTGCGGCGCCAAATTATCAGGGGAAAAACTCACATGCAACGTTTAAATGAAACTCAATTTTTTGATCGTTAATGTGTACTTTATGCTTTTTAAAGTTTGTAAACAGGCCTAAGGAATAAAGGCAAAATGTCCTCATCTCTCCCTGATTTTCCTTTGAAATGCGAAAAAATCACTCATGTTCGCTAAATTATGTTCAGCAGATAAATGAACTGCAGCTCGCGAAATTGCAGCAAACAGTCTATCTATAGTGTACGTAACAATAGAAGCAGACACTACCTAACAAAAAGTAAACTATGAAGAGAGATGAAATGAATTTATTGAAAGAAAGAACGCCGCGGTGCACCCTTTGGGAACCGCTGGGGTAGACAATATATTGTCGCGAATCAAATTTCGTTTATGGTAATTCATACCATTCTAACAGTCTAGGTAATTTATAAATACTATTATATATTTATTTATAAAATTTATGAATGAATATAAAATTGAATTTTTTTACTAAATAATTTTTGAGTAATAAGTTTACATTATAATACAAGAGAGCAATGCTCAATATACGGACATAAAGGCCAAAAAAAAGTAGTACGGGCATGCAATCTTTTAAAATAGCCTACCGGTACAACAGTCTTCACGACTTCGCCTGACCATCAGAAATCGCCAACGCGAACGAGGAACCGCCCACAAGATGCACCATTTTAATGACGTCACCGCACACAAAAAACACGAATCCCATGTAGCCCACAGATATTTTTGAAATAAATAAAAGTGATAGTCTTTCAGCGCCCGAAAACGTCCAACATGGTCTATCTCTTTATATTATTTATATTGTAATCTGAGGTTTCTCCCCTTTCACCTTCAGTGTCATGCACTTCTAAACAATTATGCTGAAACAACCTATTCAACTTTATAATAAACTAGTCATCCGTTTGTAAACTGTCTTAAACTAAGACGATAGAATATATACTTCTAGCGCACATTGCCATTCATTTACATATGCTTATATAATATACTGCGGAGCCACTGCGTTTGACAATTTCACTGTCTTTAATAATAGGGAATAGCATTGTCCCTACCTAGATAATTGGGTATTGCCGTAGTGTGTGTACCAGGTCAGGGTTAGGTCATAATTTTTTTTCGATTTTCATCATTTTAGTTCTATCACGAGTTTGGGGACTGTCTGTGTTAGCCAAGTGCATATACCCTCTATCCATAAGATTCAGTGCCTCTACACAACTTGATGTAAAGTAGGCGAACAAAATTAGTTACCTTCATATTGGTACACACATTTCTGGAGCGCCGATACTTGCACTCATTAAATTATTCTTCTTGTCAACCAGTATAGAGTAACAAAACTGGACATATGGAATACCGTTTCTCTCTGTTTTACACTTCAAGCAGCCAGATCTCTCCAACTGAGCACAACTTGACTGTTGAATGAATGACGTTTTCGTACCCGTCATTTTGCTAATATTAAATTGTTTGCTATGAAATTATTTTAGTATTACTATTCTAGATTTTCTACCATAATATTCACCACTATTTTCGTGTTTAATGTAGTCACGGTCGAAAATCGATTAAATCAAATAAACAAATATACTCAAATGAAATACTATGAAAACTATTGACAACAAATTATTTATAAGTTATACCAAAAGCTGTTTTACGTAGAAATTCAAAATGGCTGATAATTCAAGTAATTCATAAAATTAAACCCGTCGAAGGTAAGACTTGATGTTGATGTGAAATCTGTGATCTTTGTGTAAATTGTAGTTTGAAAAAATTATTTCAATTAATTATAATTAATTTATATAAACGACCAAATCTAGAAAAATCTCCATTATAACGACTGACGTACTCATTTTGAGGATAAATAATTATATATGTTAAGCACAAAAATTGTACTTCATTTCGATACCGTGATCATTATAATTGTATCAAAAAGTCATGTTCAATCAAACAACTTTTTTACTTTTTTAGATTTGCATACGAAAGCACGTATGCACAACGTTTAGGCAATTAGTTTTCTAAATTTAAACGCACATACACGTCCATTCACGTTCACTTAAAGAGATGACTCAAGAAGCTTTACGTAAAATGTTATTAGTTCATAAAGTTTGACGCAAATATTGATCCACGGTGGCAGTTCACGTTGAATGCACTCTGCTGCATTGCTTCGAATCACGACTTTTCTTGTCTCAAACAATCTTGAAAAAAATTATAGTAACGTTTTCTTTGAAGTAAGACTGACAGAAAAAAATCGCAATGTTTCACTGCCATTGGACTTTGGATAAACGATGTTGACCAACTGCAGTAAACAAATGTGAATATCGGGTGAATCTTCGCAGTACAGTAGAAACTTTACTTAAAAAATTAATTCGTCCCGGAAGCCGTTTCGTAAGAAGAAAATTTCGTAAGTAAGAGTGCATTTTACCCTATAAATGTCCTAATCCGTTCTAAGCTCTCACAAAACTCGGACATAATATTTTTATAAATTATAAATATTGTCTAAAACCTGTAACAATTAAATTTTAGAATTAGATTACTGCATAATAAATGGAAATGGTACATTTGAAAAGAAGATATAACGGGAAAAAACGAATAAAAACTACGAACTGTTTGGCTAGGCTAGGCTAAGACCGCGGTGTGTGGGAGGACGGCGGTCGGAGTAGGTGGGAGAAGGCGGCAAACAGTTGACAGCTGAGAGAGAACGTAATGTACGAAAATGAACACATACACTAAACTCAAAACACACATCCGCTTAAACGGTCAGCACGCGTTTTTTAAATTTTCGGCCTTTCGTATTTAGAAGCATCTTTCGTTATTCGGAGCAATATTCTATGAATAAACGTTTCGTAACTGTAAAAAACACAACATTCTTTCACGCCCTGTCGTGATAACCGTATTTCATTTTGACCTATTTACGTTGCAGTAAATTAGGTTAACACTTTGTGGCACTCGAGAGCTGAAGTCAATGAAATAAAACCTTCAATGGTGATGTCATAATACGAAGCTCGTTCGTTTTGTTCGTCTACTTCGTCTGCATCCATTTGTGATGCCTTTTACGGTGCGTCAGATTCGAAGGATTATTGATATTCGATCGCTTAAATAATTCAACTGAATGATTTTGAAGAAATGAATACAATTTTATATTCACGTCCCCATGCTATTTCCTCTTCATATTATTCATTGAACAGAAGAAAAATAATAACTTTTACAGATATTTATTATTGTAACTACACCAATGCTTTCTTTCATTATAGTGTTTTGTGACCATCAAGTTTCTACAAAGATCGGCGAAAAGTGTGACAGAGAGAGATAAACATGACGTAATAAAGTGTTCCTATATTTCATAAAAAAGTGTTTTCATAAATTAAAATAAAAAAGCAAAATTTCCGGCGAAATATCGGGTAATATTGTACTCCGAGAAAATTTGAAAAAAATATAACTAATATCCCACAAGAGGCTTCAGTCATGTTTAAGTGTATGGAAAATTTGAAATGCAATACTCTGTTACTTCTTGAGAATAAAAAACTTTTTTTCCTAAGAGCAACAATAAATACAACGACAAAAAGAATTTAGTATAACGATAGATCCACTTCATGGTCATTAAGGCGGTAATTGAGGGCAACTCAATAAAGAGACCAAAGACAATCATTTGCAATGAGATTATGATATATGAAACTGTGTTAGAGTACCATATCATAATAATTTATATAAAAACAATCACCAATCAATACTTTACATCATAGTCAGAGAAAATTTCAACTTAGACAGACAGATCCGCCAAACATGTGATAGGTTAATGTAAACAAACATCTTCTTAGCATTCGTAGTCATACAAATATATAAGTAGTTGAAAGATTCACTTAATTTCATTCAACTTTTTACGTTTGCTCCGAACACCAATTGCGATGTTTTCAATCACTCCATGATTATATGAAGTATCATTGGCGTCATGGAAAACTGGATAATTTACTCGAGTCAGAAGTTCACGTGCTTTATAAGCTGGAAATTTTCCTTGTTTTCCTGTTCTTTTGTTAATTCCTCTTAAAAATCCATCGTTCGAAGGAAGGTGTGGGTCGAAGGAAACTTTTATTTCATCCTCCTTTAGCAGTTCCATTTCGCCATCATTATATGGAGTGTGGCTATGAATAGCTCGCCATGGAGCGAAGAAATTTCTCTTAAATCTGTACAATGTGTCGACTGATTGAAATTGGGTGGAAGCATCAATGTTTCTGTACGTCATTATATCATAAGCTGTTCGGCATACCTGAATCATAACCAAATAAGTTTTACATTCATTTCAATTCGAAATTTTGTGCATAAAATATTTTTTTTTAGTATTTCAGCTCGGATATATAGGGTATTTCAAAAACATTCACCCCCAGGCCTTGATTCAATCTATTAAAAAGAGAAAATGGAAAATATAATTGTTATAATTACACTTACACTAGGCCATTTTTATGTCGTTCAAAATGGCTAGGTTATGGTTTTTACTAGTTTTCTCTTTAGTTGGTACTAATACCAGAGTTGTACCATGCTTACAGTTAGTCGTCATCATAATCAATGGGCGTTTATCAAAAATGACCAGCGGTTTGGAAACTTTCAATGAATTGTAACAAAAGGGTTAAATTTCTCGCCTGCAGCGAGTATTCTGCTTTTTCTGCGTTGGTGGAGTCAGGAAGAAGGTATTTATTTTTCTATGTAGTCAGGACTACGGGACAGGTAGATAACTTGGAAGATTGTAACAAAATGCACCAGGACTATAATAGTGTTGAATTAGTTGTTGCCTAAATTTGAAATGTGTGAATGAACTCACACTAGAAGACAGAGTACAGACAAGATAGTCACACTTCGCTAGAAAATGTATATCCGTTATGATTCCTTCCAATCCACCCTCGACGTATCTGTCCGTTCGTTTTCTTGTTACATTCAAAACTTTCTGAGTAATAAACTTATATGTAGGGTATCTAAAACGATAAATTACGTTGTTATCATGTAGCTATCAAAATATTATTTAAAATATACTAGAGATCAAAAGATGCATTAATAAATATGTTTTAACAACTTATGTTAGGTGTATACTTGTAATGTATGTATATACATATATTAGCGCCAAACTCACACTTTGAACTTCATATTGTCGACGTAGGAAATACGGGTATATTTTTTTGTATTTGATGATAACAAAGATGGGACGGTATGCAATAAAGGTGGAGCTTTTGGGTGTGATTCGGTCCGCGTCCGGGCTAGAGTTGTTTTTGTTATTCATGATTGGATAATTGACTGGGAGCGCTATAACATATGTGATTGGATTCACTGAAGAGAGTTAGATGTGATGATTTTATATTTCAATTCATTTGTATTTATAATAGGTCATATATGACGTAAAAGTCTAGAAAAATCATTTTGCTATAATTTTTGATACTTTTTGTGAACAAGTGAAATACTTTACTTATTGCGAAGCTCGGGAAGCACCCTTGCATCTTCCGTCGCTAAATACACAGTTGGAACAATAGTTTTGTTCTTCAGTAGTAACTGTTCAAACCATATTTGCACGAAAAACATATATTCCTCCACTTCGTGTCGGACTGCTTCTTTCTTCACTTTATCACCACGACGGACATGTATCCTGAAACACAATTTTATCAATTCAAATATGACCGAATCATGGACACAAACAATCAGAAACTCAAGAATCTAACTTGATTGATCGATCATCATTATAATGCTCACAGTCGTGTAAGTAGACCGCAGGTCAGTGAGCCTACGTCATTGGTGCTGGGAGTAATATCTGCTTTATTTGCAGATAACTAGTATATATATATATACGGTATATATATAAACATTATTGCGTGGAGAACCCAGCCTTTAGCTTGTTCTCGGTCGTTCTTCAAAACAAAAACACTTGCGTTAATATCAGGCACTGATTCTTGGGTATGTGTGTGCTATAAACTGCTGCGTAAAAATGCCATGTTACCATATAATTAGTATTTGCGTCAGCCAAAGAGTGTGATGTAAATATGCGAGTTCTATTTTCAGATTTTATGGCACCTGCACTGGAGCGATAATCGGTGATATTCTGGATTTTTGTCAAGCGAAAGTATCTGGTATACAGTAATAATATAATATGTCAGTTAATATTTCGCTGACTCGCAATAACGCCGGAATAATTTATAGCTATTCCTATCTTTACGAAATATTTGAGCGTAGGAAATTTTGGGGGATGAAGCCCTAAATTACTTGAAATTTAAGAGTTACTATACTCACCCCGCAATAGGACTTTTGAAAAATATTTTGTTGGATATTTCATCAATGTTGTTTGCAAGCCAAGGCTGATATCTGGTAACGTATGCGATGAATTGTGAAATCCACCAAACAAAAGGTTGACCATGGTCTGGCAAAACAATCTGAGAAAGTTCAGCAGGAACCGACCATAACAACCAGTTTGGAGCATGCATCGCTCTCTTCTTGATTACCCGTTTATGTTCCGATTCTGAAATTCATTCATATTTTAAAACATAGGTGTACGTAATATCATCCCACCGTGACCCACAGGCAAACAAATGCACTGGCCACAATAATTGCCTTTGACGAATTTTAACACCAACAATGGAAGATTACCCATTTCTGATTTGGGTCGAGGTTTATCGACCGATTCAATTCATTTTAAATAACTGGTTTAAGATTAATTTGAACGGTGAAATACAGACCGGACATTTTATTATTTACCGATAATCTAATAACGTAATATTCAACATAATCTGGTTCTAAATTTGATAACAATCGTACCTCCAATTTGGTCAATTGCGGTAACTGCATTGCTCATATTGCATTTACCCAATGGTTGGAATGCGTATTCCCACCCGTCATCTGCATACTTCCAACCTTTTGAATTATACACCAATGTTCTTTCGTATCTGAATGCTTGCATCAAACAATTTGTAAGTGAATGAGTTTCGCACCCGAATCCACATACATTGGTGACATTGCAAATCAGTATTTTAGCTTTTGCACAGTCTTCAGGGTTCTGGAATGAATTAATGATATGTATGAAATAATCAGCGATATCTTTACATAGAATAAAAACTATAAGTTGATTTACCTCATTTAATCAAAACATTAAAATAGCTAGGGCCCATTTTTAATCATTGGAATTGTTAGCCGGTAAGACTTTGACGTGATCTATCTATTAATGTTGAATATTTACAAAGTAGATTAAAAAGCAAGAAACATGTAGACAGTGAAAAGCCACATTACAAAGTCTAAACTTGATAACTTATATTGCAGAATAGCAGACATTCAAATTTTTAAATATCAACAGAACATTTCTCAACAGAAAACTAGTAGAACACATGTTATTAGTACAAAATTCAAATAATTGCAACAACTGTTATAATAACAAATTCTCGATATATTATTATTTTAAAGATTAGCTTATTTTAAAATTCACAAATAGTCTCACTTGAAGTTTCTTTATCTTTTGTCTGATAAATCTTTTTAAAAGTTTTATTTTGAAATCTCTTTGTTTTCTTGATATGTTCATCAGTTTGTCAACTTCTTGCTTTAACGACCTTTATTTACGTTTGAAACAAGTCCAGGTCAATAGTAATTATCTATTAGTAGTAATTATCTATTATCAATAGTAATTATCTATTACTATTGAAAAACCATAATTTGATAAAAAAAAGACTTGAAAAAAAGATTCTAAATAATTTTAATTCTTTCGATAATATGTTTTTAGAAAAACGAAACTTTCAATAAAGTAAATTGGCCAAGAACAAATCTTTAATTTATGGAAAGATTCGAGGAATACGTACATGTAACCTTCGTTGATATATCTTTCTGCGTCTTTTCTTATCTTCATACGCCGAACAATCGATATTATTTGTAGCCAGTAATTTTTCAAATCCAAATTTAAATTCCATAATGATTTGTAAGTCTTTAAAAAATAATGTAGAACAGTCTTGTCGTGTATGTCATATACAAATAAAATAATTTAATTGTAAAATGTATAGTTTATTCTTTATCCTTGCCCTATTAAATTTTTCACTATAATGTCCCATTTTCTTCCTTAAATTAAAATGGGGAAAATGAATCATCATACACTACATATTTAAAGCAACTATTCCAGAAATTAAAAATTACCACAAACAAAAAGAAGAAATACACCCACGTAGGAAATCCTGTTTCAATATTTTCAATATCAACAATAATCGTTTACTTCTATATGACGGTATTTTAAAGAACAAATTGAAAATATGACCAATCAAATTACCCATGCTGTGATTCCATTTTCTTTGTCTTCATTGCTATTGCCTTTTGAGATGTTTATCATATTCGTAATTTGATTTTGCAGGATTCTTAATAATAAAACCCGATTGTGTTATATATGGTTTATTGAATATTTCAAAAAAAACTAAAATGCATATAAGTTTTAGATACCTAAGTTTGAACCACCAAGCTGAGATTTTTTGTAAGTACTAGTAAATCTTGTATTATATTATAGCTTCATACTTAGTTATATCCTAATAGTTTATTTGTCTATGGGTTGATATAAGCACAGCAATTTTGAGGATCAGGTTTCGATGATATTCTACTGATAGGATAGATATAAAATGAAGTTGGAAATCTTCGTAATGACCATATGGAATGGGATTCAGGGCTAAGCTGGAGGTTTGTCAAAAATATAATTATTGCAAAATACATCTGATTATTATCCTATTCAATAAGTTATTTATAGGCCAACCTCAACAAATCTTTCACACGAAATTCATAAATTATCTTTAGGAATATATAAATGAATTAGGAACAACAGCATAACTAACACCTCAGAGTACTGAATACGGGTTAGTATCGAAAAAAATGCATATATTGAACACAGAAAATGATGTAAAACTGGATTACTCGTATCCTTCTTGGAGGGAGTTTTTCTCTGTTCGTGATCTTTTGGTTTCTTCAAAAAGTGACTTTACGTAGAACCAGAATTCTTCAAAATCTTCTGACAAGAAATTTAAATTTTCGTATCTAACACTTCCGCTGTGCACATCCGTGAGAGAATAGCTATGCTTGACTTCAATATGTTTGATGGTTGCATTGCTATTTTCATCATTAGGATTCCAATTTTCAGGTTTTGATCCTAGCGTACCGTTATCCACTATAACAGTCGGCGCTTCAAAGGGATTGCTGTAGAAAATTTGTTATTATATATTAATCGAATAAATTATCTTAGTTTGATTGTTATAAAAAGGTTTACGGCGTAATATTTGTAATTATTGCTATAATTTTTTACGAAATTTGCTCATATATGTAGGACGATGGTATAATAGCACTTTCTCAATCAAGAACCCCACCACTCCTGTGGTTGCAAATATTGGGCACCAAGTTTCGTACACTCTAGCAGAAATATTCCAGGCTTTCAAGTGTTTTTGAATCTTTTACACGTGGAAGTGTCCTATTTGTACAAAGCCTTGACACGAAAGACGAAACTATTTTATGGTAAATTAATATCAGATACTTCTTAAAACTGAAAATCATGAATGTATGATGTATTGTAGATCATATTAACTCACTAAATTTCGTAAACTGAATATCCCAATTTTTTTTGCTCGTTAAAACACGATTTGTTTTGGATTTGTTCTCATGAACTTGCAGCTAAAATTTGATTTGTATATTCAACAGAGCGTTTAAAAACCGTTGAACGTTTGAAACTGCGGAAAGCTATTCACACTTATTTCTATATATGCGGTTTATTTAATATACAATGGGGGTGTATAGAGGTGTATTAAATTGACCAACAAAAATCAACGTTCAGCCAGTATCATACTTTATATCAAACCACGAAAAATTTAAAGAATTGGAAGTTCTTACCCAAATACTTGAAAATATACATAAATCTGCAACAGACTCAAGCACAAAGTGGCAAAGAAACAGACAGTTTTTGACATTCCTCTATATCGGACCAATTGAATAAATAGACACATATTGCAATAAAGCAGCAGTGATGCATTTTTGAACACATACGACAATTAGGCATGAAGAATAGGTAAATTGTGTATTTAAACTCAACAAATCAATGGACCATATTTGTAATTGTGATATATGTAAATGAAATATGAGAAAATGAAGGAAATTCCTGCCATAACACAAATTACAAGTGCGATATCCTGTGCGACGACGTCTACACATTATCACTGATTTCCTGTGACGAATTTTAGTTGTGGCAATTATGCCTTGAACACATGTTTTTAAATGGTGTGTGTTATTGTGTTATTTGACCATTTGCACCCCGAAATTTTGGGATATTAGCTGATCTGTATTTGTCTCTGAATAACTGATAAAAAGTTGTAGTTATGAACACACATATATATATAAAAAGTGACCTAAAGCGTCGATTCATTGTGAGCTGGTAATATTCATAGCTCATATCTATAAAATCAAGTTGAAGAAGATGAATTGCCGGTCATGCTGTTATCAACTTTTTAGATGTCACCAAAAGTATAATAACTGAATTGAGGTCGGATTAATCTTTGATCTTCCAACTACCGCGTATGATCTATAGACTGCAGTTGAAGTCACACTATGTACGTCAATTATACTTAGGCTAAACCTCAATGTGGACCACTGACTCAATGGGCCACTGATAGATATCTGCCCGAGCTCACCAAACCACCCATCAAAGCGTCGTTCAAAACTTGAAGAGTGCAAAGGTTTTTAATTATTTCAAGTTCCACTGGAATGATCTAGTCTAGTCATTGTTATTTCGAACAAAATATTCTACTCCTAACACGAGCGTACGAAGAATCAATGTGATGCTATTGCCAATTCGTTTTTGTGTAACCGTCCTAAACAATTTTGTTCTCGAGCAAACTATTTCAGAGGACACTAACCACTCACCTCGGGTGTGAGACTAGGGAGAAGAAAATCACTAATATGTGGAAAATTCATAATGCAAGAATTTTTTAATAGTGTCACCAATGAAGAATATATGAATTTTGTTGATAACTGTTTTAATAAATATTTGTTCACTGTTAATGTACTTGAAAGTATTTTTTATTCTCTTAAATCTGTCTGTCCCACTGAACCTGATTGAATAACCCAGGAACATTTGGTATAGTCTGGTATATATATAGCATGAACCTTATATCTTTTTTGAATCCTTTCTGTTATGCTCCATTTTATTCCTCCCATAATCAAAAGCAAAAATGGTGAATTTTGTGGTTTCAGTAACTACAGTAGCATCTGTTTAGTCTAAACTTTTGAAAAACATGACATGAAACCTGAATACATTTGAAGTTTTGAGTTTTATTTGATTACATTTCACAGCCAGTTCGTTATCAAGTCTGGTCATGGGACTGACGTGTGCATTTCACTCTGAAAGAGAAAAAGAAAAAACACTGAAAGAAAATCATAACTAGTTTTCATGAATTTTTTTGATGGATTTTATAAAGTTAATCACTGGTCTGTTCCGTAAATTGATCAATACAAAAATTCCCGAGATATTTTTATCGCTTATTGTGTACACTTATCGCCGTCAATCTATGTTTGTTAGGTGGGATAACTGTGTGACAGCTCTATTCTCTGTCCATAGAGGCACTAAACAAGGTAGGTTTACTGAGCCTTCATTTATACTATGTATTATCTTTCCACCAAGGTAAATCATGAGGCCATTGGATATGTTGTAAATGACAATATTATCAATCATTTTTTTCACGCTGATTACATGTGCTGAATTTCCCAGGCTTGTCTGCAATTACAATGCTGAATATATTTTGTTCTTTATAACTAACAAGAGAATTATGCTCAAATATAGGGATATGAAGTCCATAACGAAATGTTTTACCATTATTTCCCCGAAAATCGTACGATTTTCGTGTCTCACATGTCCCATGGGTAATACAAATGTGTGCTGTCCCATCCCACGGACAAGCCTGGTATTTCCCTTTCTGCCATAGCTGTCAATGCTTACATAACATACTCAACTTTTTCATCTCCCTCTTAGAAGTTTGGAGATTTTCTTGAGCAAAAAGGTTAGGTATCATTAATCCAAGTATATGAAGCTATGTAGGTCATTCCAAAAATATTTTTAAAAGGGATGTGTTTAAGGGTCGGACTATCATTAGCTGCATACACCTATATTTCACCCTTTATACCTTTTGGAACCTAGATGTATTCCACATAAATATGATTAAAAAAGCATTAGCATTGTTTTTTAAGGGAGTAATGTCTGGTCATTTGTTAAGAAGATGTAACATATTGATCAGCAATTCAACCGAATAATTTACAAACTTAATTTCATAAGTCAATTTTTGTCGATGATCCGTCAATATTTATTGATCTACGAGGTTATGTTATGAAATACGTTATGAAACACGTATCCACTAATAATATAATCTAGCGACATTTAATTTCATAAGGGTAATTTTAATGCTAGATTCGCACACAATGACAGAACGAAATGTGTTGTTTAATGAATGTCTTACTTCAATTCCTAATATAAGTAGCGAGATGCAATTCTACTGTAAACTGAATCATGAGAGGTATCACAATAATGAAAGGTTACCTTTGCACACCGCCAGTGGTTTAATTTTGATTTTATATAATATGATCATGAACTCTGGTTCAGATAAACCTATATCTGCCATAACGGTGAGCATCAAGTCCCGGTGACGTTCTCGCCAACGCTTGTAACGAGAATATCAGTCAGAGACCGAAGACTTATCAATCGAAAGTTAGGGGATCCCAAAACAGCACTCTTACTCCATAGTGACACCTTGTGTCCCATCACTAATTAATTAATAACTCGCTAATCATACTAAATAATTCATCCAAAATCAATAGGCTTCTGGTACGTATGATGAATGCACATGCAAAATCTGGAGCAGATTCAATCTCGCTTTCGTGAGATATCGCGTGCATCTAACAGACAAACAGACAAATACCTATCAACATACTTACCGATTAAAATCGATAAGTAATAATCCTTCTCGTATCCTCGTCAATTGTGAAGGAAAATGTTCCGTGACATCAGGGTTATTCACTCAAAGTTACAAGATAAAGCTAGACATTTGAATCAATCATTGTCCACTTCCTAAGAGCGTTCGGCTGACCGCGCACACTTCATGTTGGCTGATGAAGAAATGTGATAGTTGCCATGTGTAATCAATAGGTGCCTGAATATTCCATGTACCTTACTAACAAAATTTCCAAGTAGTAGTTGGAATTTCATAACAACTATTTATAGAGAAGATTGCTTTACAGTTTACACCATCAAAGCTCATGTATCTATTTAAACACTTGGTTGAAACATTATGTATTACGAAAAACAACTTCAAACAAATAAGAGATGAGTTCACAACCATCTTTGTACTATTATTCTCGGCATAAATGGTTTCATATATAGCTTCCATCTAATGAAATGTCGTCACATTCTTGACGTTACTCTGCTCAAAACACAGATTGAAATATTCGTGGAGTTAAACAAATGAAGAGGAAATAATTGGTGCATTACTATTTCTTTTATTTACTGAGTGAAATAGATATACATATATTGATTCTGTATGATATTCCCTTTCTTACGTATATTACCGCACACATATTTATGTGCATAGATTCATTATATGATATTCGCTACGTTCAATTGTTTTAGCAAACTAAGAAAAAGCAGTCTTCCTGTATGGCAATGTATGTATATTTTCAACACACAGCTTTTTGAACGGTTTACACTTTTGTAATGTTTGACTGGAAAATATTTTATTTAATTTTTCTGTCTGAACGATTTAAATTGTTAAATTAAAATTGATAATACCAGGAATAATAAAATATAACATACTCTACATACATAAATTTAGAACGCACATACTGTTGGAATAAGTGTGACTATTCTGAGTATAAGATTTCTTTAATGAATTCTAATTTTTGGGGGATAAATCATATGGTAGATTATTCACCGTTGTTTGTGAATAGCAAACATTCGACAGGTTTCCGAAATTCGCATTCATACTAATATAGTAAAAAATTAAAACACATTTCAGCCAAATCATAATAAGGCTGGGCATTTCGCATCGAATAGTGAAGTAACCGAATCGGTTCAGACGAAAATTTCGAATCGCCGCCATCTTGTTTTTTAGTCCGCTAAAAGTCGAGGTGAATTCGTCAATTTATTTTATTGAAGTCATATTTTTGGAATTCAGTTTTCAAGTGTGACTTGTTTCTTTCCATTGAGTTAGTGATGAAACATGTTTATTATTGTATGTGACAACTCGCGGATTGACTGAGTGATAGATTCTATGTTTTTATTAATTTATGTATCTGGAGGCCACATGCAATTACGTTGTTGTATGAATTTAAATATCTTCCATGCAAGTATGCGAAATAAGTTCAAAAATAATATTAAAGTCGATTTTGAAATAATCTGGTGTTCAAAAATGCCCAGCCCTAAATCAAAAGCAAGGAATTGTATTTTTGTCATGATGACATAATCCACTTGTCCATCATGAGGTTCAGTGAGAGGAATGATACTCTCGTCGCGAAACTGTAGTGTTCCTGTATATTAGACCAATGGTAACCACATACGTTTATAAATATATATATTTCACGTGAAATTTGCTCAAAGCTGATAGTTTTAGTAACAATTGGGGTTGTATTATCTTCAGCAAAAATTATATTCTCTACAACTATTGTACACTAAATCATGATCTATTTTAGTGAATTTAGCAATTACGGAATTTCTATACACATTTTAAAAATATGCATTTGCATTTGAAATGTTATGTTACCTCTATGCGCAGGCTTTATTTCTGTGAGACAGAATAATTTCGGGGGCGTTTACGTAAAACTAATTTGAAACTATGTACGTTCTACGCTATGAGGATTAATAGACTCACTGAGCCTATATATACTGTTCGAAGCAATCCAGAACAAAAAACGAGACCTAACCATTATGCTCTACGCTTAATTTGATCAATAATCGAGAGATTACT